AGTTCTGGAGCAAAGGAGGATGTTATGTTGTTTTTGTAATTTTTATTTAGGTGATGATGTTATGTTGTTTTTGTAATTTTTATTTAGGTGATGATGTTATGTTGTTTTTGTAATTTTTATTTAGGTGATGATGTTATGTTGTTTTTGTCTGGACTCAACCTGAAGGGCCCGGGTAAGATTTCCAACATGGGTACAATGTGTGAAACCCTTATCTGGAGTCCCCCGCCTTGATATTGCTGGAATAGTGCTAAAATCGGCGTAAAACCTGACTCACTCACTCTTGTTTTGCTTCATTGTCACTTCCGTTACTGTTAGTATGTTTGTATACTGTTCATTGCTATAAAGAACCTACGTCGTGGTTGTTGGTGATCTTTAGCGAACCAAGCACTGTCTCTGAAGCTGCCCCGAGCATTCCTCTTTCTTCGCTTGTGGCTGTCGTCACTGGATGCCGCGGAGAGGGAGTCAGGGTAGTACATGCCGCGGTTGGCGCTGTAGAAGCCGCCGCGAGTGGCGATCTGACTGGAGAATGGTTGAAGGTTGGAGTCGTATCTGAAATATATTGCATATAGATGTACTTAGCAAAACCGATCTCTCGTAACCACCGCTCACTTGCCAACAACCTTTCTACTGGTCTAACTTTCTGCTGCTTCCTACTTGTACTCATACAACAACTCAACCTGTGTAATATCATTTCACTATCCTACTTGTACACCTACTGGCTAGTTTTCCATCTATATACTCATATATATACATATATATATTCGTTACATTATTATTTACAAACACCAAATTCAAAAACAAGCAATTCGTCATTCACATTACACAGTTACAATTTATGATACAATTGATCATGTCTACCCTATTTGTACACCTACCAGTTAGTTTTCGATTTCACTACCCTACTTGTACAGCTACTGGCTATTGTCTCATTTCACTTTAGCACTGGAACAGCTGCTGGCTAGTTTGCTAAGTAGTACAATTTCAACACCCTACTTGTACAGCTACTGGCTATTGTCTCATTTCACTTTAGCACTGGAACAGCTGCTGGCTAGTTTGTTAAGTAGTACAATTTCAACACCCTACTTGTACAGCTACTGGCTATTGTCTCATTTCACTTTAGCACTGGAACAGCTGCTGGCTAGTTTGCTAGACAGTACAATTTCAAAACCCTACTTGCGCAGTTCCTTGCTAGGTGTTCACTTCACTACCCTATCTGTATAGTTGTTGGATAGGTGTTAACTTCACTACATTTTAAGTACAAAATCCAGATGAGCTTTATTTTTAACCACCCCCAAAAACAACAACAAACAAACAAACAACCCCAAAACCACCCCCAACTAACATATATATTAATTACATAATTATTTACAAACACCAAATTCAAAGACAAGCAATTCATCATCCACATTACACAGTTACAATTTATGATGCTGGTCTACCCTATTTGTACAGCTGCTGGCTAGTTTTCCATTTCACTATCCTTCTGGTACAGCTGCTGGCTATTGGATCATTTCCCTCAACTATTTTTACAGCTGTTACTAGTTTTCCAGTTCACTACACCACTGTTACAGTACCCAACTGGAGAATGATTACATCTCAACTCGATATGCTGAAGTCATTCACTATATCTAGGGAAACTCCACTCACCGTTCATCAGAAGACCTCTCGAACTCCTTCCTCTTGTTTCTGATCCTCATGAAGATGATGGCGATGATGCACGCCAGGATGACGACGAAGAGAGGGATACCCACAGAGAGGCCGATGATAAGCCGAATGTCACCTGAACACGTACGTTATTGGATAAGTTTAAGAAGGTTCATTAGCATACACTGAGCATCGATCATATGAACAGATCGATCACAGTAACACTGAATTCGATTGACATCAACTACAGTCTGTTACAATATTTTGACACATAAAATTGATTTGAGGTCGTGATTTCTATGAAACAAAATGTGGTACTGATGGTTTATTCTTCATAAAGAAACACAATCAGTAATTGATGCACCGGTTGATTCATTCTTGATCCTTCTACAGAACCATCTGTGAGTGAGTGAGTTTAGTTTCACGCCGCATTCAGCAATTTTCCAGCTATATGGCGGCGGTCTCTAAATAATCGAGTCTGGACCAGACAATCCAGTGATCAACAGCATGAGCATCGATCTGCGCTGTTGGGAACTGATGACATGTGTCAACCAAGTCATCGAGCCTGACCACCCGATCCCGTTAGTCGCCTCTTACCACAAGCATGGGTTACTGAAGATCAACTCTAACACGAATCTACACCATCTGTGATTGATGTGGAATGGGGAATCGTCGTTTAATATCACAAGTGATCGACAGAGAATTTTTTCTCTATCGTAATATTATATTTTCAGGTGGAAAGGTATTTAATTCTATATCGTCACACAACGCCATCTATGACTCTGAAGAAACACATAATATTTGGCAAAACTAATTAGAAAGATGATTTCCAATCATCCTAAGAAATTATGTTTCAAGGAAAGAAACACATACACGACCAATCACATAATGTTGTACTTACTTTCTGCTGGGACGGTGCTGAAAGGTAAGAAAAAAATGATGCTGAAGATAAGATGCAACAGTTGGACTTGAAGTCATATTCTTTGATCCGCAATGTATATTTGACACAATTATTTGGTATCAAAATATTATTTTTCAGTTAAAGTAAGTTGACAAAATGATATCATACCTGCACGCTGGTATACCGTCAGTCGTGATGCAGACTTGATTACTGTCACAGGTGGTTTTACTGTGTACGTCACACGCATCTGCCGTCACTGAAAGATAACGGAGAATACTAATGACACCTTGTATAGTGTATAAGTGACAATTTAGCACAGATGGATGTTGAGAACGTCCAACATGGTGTACAAATAACAACACAGGAAAGAAGAATGTTGAGAACAAATGAAACGGGGTACACGCTAATAGGGGATATACAATACAAATGTAGTTGGGAACAGGGAAATGATATACGATTGGCAGTATAGGAGAAAGACCGTAAAGAACGAAAGAAAAAGGGTACGAGTAACAACATAGGGCAGGACAATGTAGAGAACAAATGAGACGGGGTACACGCTAATAGGGGATATACAATAGTTCAATGATGTACAATTGACAAATGACAACATAGGACAGAAAAATGATGAAAATACTTGTCATGATAATGCAGCACAGAGGAACTGTCATTTGACTTTATACACATTGTCAATAAAATGATGGTACATTTGTTTATTACATGTTACTATAACACGCATCATGTATTTTACATGGTTCACTCCGAAAACTTTTACAGAGAGTTGTCATGGTTGATTGAGTTTACCTACCCTCTTGTTATAATGGTATAGTCCTACGGGGGGATTAGAATCCTGTATAGGGGATTATAAACTATAGCCCCTCTTGTTTTCCGTATACCTAAATAATCTTGAACAACACTTATTTGACAGTACTGCAATGGTTTTAAATATGAAACGCAAACTAACAGTATTGACCATTTACAGCATTTTATTTCATCGTTATATGCAGATGATGCCGTACTCTTCAGTGAAAAATCTAAAGGATTTACCCAAATTCCTGAATGTCTTCTTTCATTATACTGTAAGAAATGGAAACTTACAGTAAATTTGTCCAAAATAATAGTAGTTATCTTTGGAAGCGGCCCCGCGAAATCTTCAAAACTTCACTTTACCTATGGAACTGAAACTATCGATATTGTAGATACATACGATTACCTTGGAATTAAATTCCACGGGAATAGGCGATTTGTCCAAACAATTAACGCACTTACGGAAAGCGCTACAAAAGCAATGTATTGCCTTTTTGTTATCATCCCAGATAATATATTACTGTGTTAACCATATCTGTGAAAATACAATAAAATCCCATGGTTACGTTTTGTGAAACATATCCTTGATAACTGCGGTCTATCCTACGTGTTTCTGAATCCGACTGTATTGCATATGCTCGACGCCCTGGCTTGTCTCAATGGTCGAAAACACCTACAGATCCAAGTTTTTCCAAAATTGGAAGTCTAATGTTGATTCAAGTTCCAAGGAGATTACAGAGCAGCATTAAACTAGTGCAAAAAGTGTGTGTACTATTTATTTATACTAGTGCTATATGAATAAGGTATTTGAAATAAATTGTCTTCATTATATGTAATTTTATGTTATGTTTTGTTGTATAGTATTTGAAATTGAAATATAGAAGTGAAATAAAATATACAATTGTCAAACTGTAGAAGTGCAAAAACTCCTACACTTAATTAATTGGACTGTTCCAATCACTGCCCAACAGGTAATAGCCAGGAGATTAGTGGTGCAGTGGACCATAAACTTTGTTGTTTTAAGCTGTAGAAGTTTTGGGAGGACACCTTTTACATCTATTGTGCTACTATTTACAACCTCCCAACTGATTACTGGTATGCAGTATTCGTCACAGACATATTCCTCCCTCCTACCCTGCACTTATTCTTTGGTGATATACAATCATTCGGGTGTGATCGTCCCCCAGAAAGGTGGATGGTCCACACTCGACTATTTACAGGTAACCATCATTATCTGGAATATCTGCCCGTGTTTAACGCCGCACTCAGCAATATTACAGCTATATGTAGGCGGTCTGTAAATATTCGAGTCTGGATCACACAACCCAGTGATCAGCATCGTGAGTATCGATCTAGGTAATCGGGATACGATGACATGTGTCAACCACGTCTGCGAGCCTGACCACCGGATCCCGTTAGTCGCCTCTTAAGACAAACATGGGTTGCTGAAGACCAATTCTAACTCGGATTTTCGCGGGTCGCCTCTCATGACAAGCATGGGTTACTGAAGACCAATTCTAAAGGGATCTTCACGGATATTATCTGGAATGACGCAGAGTAACAATAATCTGACAAGAATAAAAACTAATCCAACAAGCAGTACATGGTACGCCTCACCCACCGGAAACTCCTTGAACTGTTTGAGACAGAACCGGTGCGTCTTCTCCATTGATCATTAAGTTCGCATTAGTCAGGTTTGTCACTGCCTTTGTGAAGATTCCTTTCGGGTTATTTTCAATTTTCGTGTTAATATCGGTTGTGTAGTCAGCGATGACACTACCGTTCCTGAAACACAAGCCACAAACGTCACAATGATGACAACGTTGATAGTAATCTGTTACGCATGTATTTTTCGTGAGACTGTATTGCGTTCAGTGATTATCTGTGCAGATGCTGTAGGAAGGGTGAGGGATGGGGAGCAATTCGATCAGGCGTGAAATTTGGAACGAGAGTTAGGTCCCTGACAGAAACATGATGGTTGGTTGGAATCCTGTTCGCCCTGATCATGTTGTTAGGCCTGCCAGCACCATACCTGTGCTCATAGGTTCATCAAAGGAGGCAAACGTCTGAGAACTGTATCATTTTCCTCGAACATTTAGCTTATACGCCTTAAAAGACCAGTCAACTCCCTCGATCAATGTACCTATACAAGGTCTTCAGTACACTCCGAACAAGATGGAACTGCTCACCTGATTTCGATGACAATAAGCTGGACAAAGGCTTCACCCAGCTGCACTCTGAAGTACTTGATTAGCTGGAAAACATATAGAACGATAAACACTGTGAATAGCTCATGAGGTATAAAGTCAAGATTTTGACTGACTTTGGTTTTATGCCGCTTTTAGCAATATTCCAGTAACATCACGGCGGGGGACACCAGAAATGGGCTTCACACATTGTGCCCATGTGGGGATTCGAACCCGGGTCTTCGGCGTGACGTGCCAACGCTTCAACCATTTGGCTACCCCACCGCCCCGACAAGATTTAGAACTATAAACAACATAATGGGAATGTTGAGTGTGTCTGAGCCTCGGTAATGTACACCTTGAGGTGAGGTGAAATGGGGTTTAACGTCGTACTTGAGAATATTTCGCTCATATGACGACGTGCATGCGTGTGTATGTGTGACTGTTTGTACCAGCCCAGACTTAAGCTGGTTCTATAGTGCTAGCTGACTGAGATAATATGCCGCAGTTAAGCATGAATAACCCACTCAGACACATTATCCGAGCCGACCAGTCCTTATTGTACCTATTAATGCCGAGCGCCAGACAGGGATCAACAAGTACCATATTTTAACGTCTTTGGGTTTGACGCGGCCGGGGATCGAACCCGCGACCTTCCGCTCTCCGGGCGGACGCTCTAACCACTACACCACGGAGGCGGTCGCTTTATAACTTGAAGAGTGCTGGCGTCCACTGATTGTGGCACCAAACCACCGATTAGCTCTGATCAGAAAGTTTGGTTTAGCAGTATTATACCCATGCTCATGCTTTTCGTAATAAAGAGGTACATTACAAACAGTTGACCAAGTGGAGACGCTCTGATTTTACTGAAGAAATTTCAAGTGACGTGATCCAGGTTTCAACGTTATAATCATGTTCTGTTGGGTACAGAGTTAGACTGAGACTCAGGTGGACTAGTCATTTAAGGCGACAGAATTGCGTCCCTTGGGCGTTCCAGGAATCTCTGATCGTGGGTTCGAATCTAAGTTTGCTTTCATTTTGTTTCTAGGTTCTTAAACCATGCTCGTGGGTTTTACCTCAGTGGTAAAGGACTTGCACCAGCTCGGAATTGATATACTTGAAATACTGTTCAAAGTGGAATTAACGCAACTATATTAACTCAAAATCAAATAAACAACAATGCATCTGCAAGGCTAAAAGCGATATACAACATCACAGGACAACCTGAGACGCAACGTCATCTTACCGCATCCTGTATGTCTCGGAGAAGATCGAGATATTTCGTGGAGTTTTTTGTGCGAAGTCGATGTCGGAAACATCCTGTCCAGGCGGATAGTTGCATTGATCTTTTCAACAGCTGAAAAGATAGACACAATTCAAATCCTCTGTAGGAACCTGTAATGCCGGGATATACCATGACATACCTTGTGCTGAAAAACGTTGATAAGACTGAAGAGAATAGGAAGAAAACAATACACTGGAAATGAATTACACATTTTGCCTGTGTGTGAAAATCTAACACTTTGTTTGCTGATATAGCAGAAAAATATTTTACATCCACCGTGTAATAATAATAGTCATATGTTTCATATAGAAAGTGTGGTATAAATGTGGAGGATATATTACCGTCGCACGCCTTTCCGTCCTGGTTGAGAGTTTGCCCATCTGGACACTCACACTTGAATGACCCGTCTGTGTTCGAACAAGAACCACCACAGCCGTGATTGCCTTTACACTCGTCTTTGTCTGGGAATAAAAACATTTTCAAGTGTTTGTTTTTTTAAATATATATATTCCATTTCAATTAATATTTCATATACATGACATCATTGAGGTTTTGTCGGTTATTCTCAATACATACTATGACAGATGAATGTTTCATATTCCTTATAAAGGGATTGTAATAGTATTATTGTAGTGACAGCTATATAATTTTCATGAACCCATATACCCTTAATAATTTAAGGCAGATAAATCTTTCCACTCCATCTAGGGCTAAAACACTCCATTCCAGCTATAACTGGTGGGACATTCTGTATATGTCAAAACACACATTCAGGAAATCGTAGCAAGCCATTTTTTCGTTAGGTAAGGCCGAAAGGTTGCAAAGCTTTAGGTTTTAGATAGTATTTAGGGCTTTGACTTTTTAGCAGCAATCATGACAAAGCCCGGGCTTTTTGGTAGCTACGCCCCTGACCATTGTTACATGACCATGTGTGAGCATATCTTGAAGAACTGACACACACCGTTGTGCTGAAGTTGAAACAGACCTACGTAAATGTTTCGATATCAAACAGATATGGACATTAAATGTCTTGATTAGAGCCAAATAATTTCGTTCTATTTCAATCAGATATGGCCATTAAATGTCTTGATTATAGCCAGATACTTTTGTTCTTTTTCAATCAGATATCAAGCAGACATTGCCATTAAATGGCTTGATAATAGCCAAACACTTTCGTTCTATTTCAATCAGATATCTAGCAGATATTGACATTAAATGGCTTCATTATAGCCAAATACTTACGTTCTATTTCAATCAGATATCAATCAGATATTGCCATTAAATGGTTTGATTATAGTCAAATACTTTCGTTCTGTTTCAAGCAGATCTTGACATTAAATGTCTTGATTATAGCCAAACACTTTCGTTCTATTTTAAGCGGTAATTGACAATAAATGTCTTGATAATAGCCAAACACTTTCGTTCTATTTCAATCAGATATCAAACATATAGGTACATTAAATGGTTTGATCACTTTCGTGTCGTGTGTGTTCAAGTGTGTGCGTTTACTAGGACAATATATATACATGTATATGTTATGCAGAAGTTCCACCTTTGATGACATACCATCACATTTGTCTGTTGTAGCGTTCTTGACGTAGCCACTGTCGCAGTCGCAGGAGAAGGACCCGCCGGAGTTGCTACAGGTGGAGTTTGGTGTCCCGCTACATGTACTGGTGTTCTGACACTCGTCAATATCTGTGCCACACATAAGCAGACAGTATGGCGGATGTTGAATGAGAAAATATACTACATGTACATCAACAAAATACACATGAAAATCAAGTTAAATTGCAATCAAACGTTTGCAAGAAGCATGGCTTGATCCGTTGAAGTTTGTGACCGTGAAACTTTGAGGAAACGATGATGATAACGAAAGGGAGGAAGAAGAACACAAACTCCAAACAAAGAAACACACACATATTGTGATTTTGCTTTAACATCACAGCGTGGTGCAAGAGAGCGAGTGTGTGCGTTTACTGGGACAATACATGTTATGCACATGGCAGAAGTTCCACCTTTGATGACATACCATCACATTTGTCTGTTGTAGCGTTCTTGACGTAGCCGTTATCGCAGTCGCAGGAGAAGGACCCGCCGGAGTTGTTACAGGTGGAGTTTGGTGTCCCGCTACACGTACTGGTGTTCTGACACTCGTCAATATCTGTGACACATAAGCAGACAGTATGGCGGATGTTGAATGAGAAAATATACTACATGTACATCAACAAAATACACATGAAAATCAAGTTAAATTGCAATCAAACGTTTGCAAGAAGCATGGCTTGATCCGTGGAAGTTTGTGACCATCAAACTTTGAGGAAACGATGATGATTACGAAAGTGAGGAAGAAGATCAAATAACTTACACATGAAGATGAAAAATGTTTTGGTACATTGTCACACACTGTAAAGGTTGAACATCAGTTGCTACAGTGGAAGGAGTTCCAGCAATAGATGCTACATTTGTCGGTGGCGACTTCACTCACCATCACAGAGACTGGTGGTAGAATTCTTAGCGTATCCAGAGACACAGTCACAACTGTAGTTTCCGTCTGTGTTGGTGCAGTTGGAGTTGGCCAGTCCAGAGCAGATGGTTGTGTTCGCGGTACACTCGTCAATGTCTGACAAGGGACAAACAACTCAAATCAATCTCATTCACACAATCGCTTACACTTTGTTAAGCTACATGTCATGTTTCTTTTATACTTGGTGGTGGAATTAGCAAGAAACAGTGATGGTATTCAGTCAGATTGGTTGTATGCTGTTGATATTGGTATTCAATGAAAACATCAATATGTTTCTTCTAGCTATCATAGCTAGGAGCATCCTGTTATGATCTTGGGATTCCATCACGGATACTACATTTGAAGAAAAACACAACACAAGACAAACTCCACACAAACACAAACACACACACAAGCATACGCACGCATATATTGTGACTTTGCTTTAACATCACAGTGTGGTACAAGAGAACGAATGTGTGTGTTTATTGGGACAATACATGTTATGCAGAAGTTCCACCTTTGATGACATACCATCACATTTGTCTGTTGTAGCGTTCTTGACGTAGCCACTGTCGCAGTCGCAGGAGAAGGACCCGCCGGAGTTGCTGCAGGTGGAGTTTGGTGTCCCGCTACATGTACTGGTGTTCTGGCACTCGTCAATATCTGTGCCACACATAAGCAGACAGTATGGCGGATGTTGAATGAGAAAATATACTACATGTACATCAACAAAATACACATGAAAATCAAGTTAAATTGCAATCAAACGTTTGCAAGAAGCATGGCTTGATCCGTGGAAGTTTGTGACCATCAAACTTTGAGGAAACGATGATGATAACGAAAGTGAGGAAGAAGATCAAATAACTTACACATGAAGATGAAAAATGTTTTGTTACATGGTCACACACTGTAAAGGTTGAACATCAGTTGCTACAGTGGAAGGAGTTCCAGCAATAGATGCTACATTTGTCGGCGGCGACTTCACTCACCATCACAGAGACTGGTGGTAGAATTCTTAGCGTATCCAGAGACACAGTCACAACTGTAGTTTCCGTCTGTGTTGGTGCAGTTGGAGTTGGCCAGTCCAGAGCAGATGGTTGTGTTCGCGGTACACTCGTCAATGTCTGACAAGGGACAAACAACTCAAATCAGTCTCATACACACAAGCGCTACATGTCATGTTTCTTTTATACTTGGAGGTGGAATTGGCAAGAAACAGTGATGGTTTTCAGTCGGATTGGTTGTATGCTGTTGATATTGGCATTCAATGAAAACAGCAATATGTTTCTTTTAGCTATTTTAGCAAGGAGCATCCTGTTTTGATCTTGGGATTCCTTCACGGATACTACATTTGAAGAAAAACACAACACAAGACAAAACACAAACTCCAAACAAAGAAACACACACATATTGTGACTTTGCTTTAACATCACAGCGTGGTGCAAGAGAGCGACTGTGTGCGTTTACTGGGACAATACATGTTATGCACATGGCAGAAGTTCCACCTTTGATGACATACCATCACATTTGTCTGTTGTTGCGTTCTTGACGTAGCCGTTATCGCAGTCGCAGGAGAAGGACCCGCCGGAGTTGTTACAGGTGGAGTTTGGTGTCCCGCTACACGTACTGGTGTTTTGACACTCGTCAATATCTGTGACACATAAGCAGACAGTATGGCGGATGTTGAATGAGAAAATATACTACATGTACTTCAACAAAATACACATGAAAATCAAGTTAAATTGCAAGCAAACGTTTGCAAGAAGCATGGCTTGATCCGTTGAAGTTTGTGACCGTCAAACTTTGAGGAAACGATGATGATAACGAAAGTGAGGAAGAAGATCAAATAACTTACACATGAAGATGAAAAATGTTTTGGTACATTGTCACACACTGTAAAGGTTGAACATCAGTTGCTACAGTGGAAGAAGTTCTAGCAATAGATGCTACATTTGTCGGTGGCGACTTCACTCACCATCACAGAGACTGGTGGTAGAATTCTTAGCGTATCCAGAGACACAGTCACAACTGTAGTTTCCGTCTGTGTAGGTGCAGTTGGAGTTGGCCAGTCCAGAGCAGATGGTTGTGTTCGCGGTACACTCGTTATCGCCTGACAAGGGACAAACAACTCAAATCAGTCTCATACACACAAGTGCTACATGTCATGTTTCTTTTATACTTGGAGGTGGAATTGGCAAGAAACAGTGATGGTTTTCAGTCGGATTGGTTGTATGCTGTTGATTTTGGTATTCAATGAAAACAGCAATATGTTTCTTTTAGCTATTTTAGCAAGGAGCATCCTGTTTTGATCTTGGGATTCCTTCACGGATACTACATTTGAAGAAAAACACAACACAAGACAAAACACAAACTCCAAACAAAGAAACACACACATATTGTGACTTTGCTTAAACATCACAGCGTGGTGCAAGAGAGCGAATGTGTGCGTTTACTTGGACAATACATGTTATGCACATGGCAGAAGTTCCACCTTTGATGACATACCATCACATTTGTCTGTTGTAGCGTTCTTGACGTAGCCGTTATCGCAATCGCAGGAGAAGGACCCGACGGAGTTGTTACAGTTGGAGTTTGGTGTCCCGCTACATGTACTGGTGTTCTGACACTCGTCAATATCTGTGCAACACATAAACAGCCAGTATGGCGGATGTTGAATGAGAAAATATACTACATGTACTTCAACAAAATACACATGAAAATCAAGTTAAATTGCAAGCAAACGTTTGCAAGAAGCATGGCTTGATCCGTTGAAGTTTGTGACCATCAAACTTTGAGAAAACGATGATGATAACGAAAGTGAGGAAGAAGATCAAATAACTTACATATGAAGATGAAAAATGTTTTGGTACATTGTCACACACTGTAAAGGTTGAACATCAGTTGCTACAGTGGAAGGAGTTCCAGCAATAAAACATTTGCTACATTTGTCGGTGGCGACTTCACTCACCATCACAGAGACTGGTGGTAGAATTCTTAGCGTATCCAGAGACACAGTCACAACTGTAGTTTCCGTCTGTGTTGGTGCAGTTGGAGTTGGCCAGCCCAGAGCAGATGGTTGTGTTCGCGGTACACTCGTTATCGTCTGACAAGGGACAAACAACTCAAATCAGTCTCATACACACAAGCGCTACATGTCATGTTTCTTTTATACTTGGAGGTGGAATTGGCAAGAAACAGTGATGGTTTTCAGTCGGATTGGTTGTATGCTGTTGATTTTGGTATTCAATGAAAACAGCAATATGTTTCTTTTAGCTATTTTAGCAAGGAGCATCCTGTTTTGATCTTGGGATTCCTTCACGGATACTACATTTGAAGAAAAACACAACACAAGACAAAACACAAACTCCAAACAAAGAAACACACACATATTGTGACTTTGCTTTAACATCACGGCGTGGTGCAAGAGAGCGACTGTGTGCGTTTACTGGGACAATACATGTTATGCACATCGCAGAAGTTCCACCTTTGATGACATACCATCACATTTGTCTGTTGTAGCGTTCTTGACGTAGCCGTTGTCGCAGTCGCAGGAGAAGGACCCGACGGAGTTGTTACAGGTGGAGTTTGGTGTCCCGCTACACGTACTGGTGTTCTGACACTCGTCAATATCTGTGACACATAAGCAGACAGTATGGCGGATGTTGAATGAGAAAATATACTACATGTACATCAACAGAATACACATGAAAATCAAGTTAAATTGCAATCAAACGTTTGCAAGAAGCATGGCTTGATCCGTGGAAGTTTGTGACCGTCAAACTTTGAGGAAACGATGATGATAACGAAAGGGAGGAAGAAGAACACAAACTCCAAACAAAGAAACACACACATATTGTGATTTTGCTTTAACATCACAGCGTGGTGCAAGAGAGCGAGTGTGTGCGTTTACTGGGACAATACATGTTATGCAGATGGCAGAAGTTCCACCTTTGATGACATACCATCACATTTGTCTGTTGTAGCGTTCTTGACGTAGCCGTTATCGCAGTCGCAGGAGAAGGACCCGCCGGAGTTGTTACAGGTGGAGTTTGGTGTCCCGCTACACGTACTGGTGTTCTGACACTCGTCAATATCTGTGACACATAAGCAGACAGTATGGCGGATGTTGAATGAGAAAATATACTACATGTACATCAACAAAATACACATGAAAATCAAGTTAAATTGCAATCAAACGTTTGCAAGAAGCATGGCTTGATCCGTGGAAGTTTGTGACCATCAAACTTTGAGGAAACGATGATGATTACGAAAGTGAGGAAGAAGATCAAATAACTTACACATGAAGATGAAAAATGTTTTGGTACATTGTCACACACTGTAAAGGTTGAACATCAGTTGCTACAGTGGAAGGAGTTCCAGCAATAGATGCTACATTTGTCGGTGGCGACTTCACTCACCATCACAGAGACTGGTGGTAGAATTCTTAGCGTATCCAGAGACACAGTCACAACTGTAGTTTCCGTCTGTGTTGGTGCAGTTGGAGTTGGCCAGTCCAGAGCAGATGGTTGTGTTCGCGGTACACTCGTCAATGTCTGACAAGGGACAAACAACTCAAATCAGTCTCATACACACAAGCTTACACTACATGTCATGTTTCTTTTTTATACTTGAAGGTGGAATTGGCAAGAAACAGTGATGGTTTTCAGTCAGGATTGGTTGTATGCTGTTGATTTTGGTATTCAATGAAAACATCAATATGTTTCTTTTAGCTATTTTAGCAAGGAGCATCCTGTTTTGATCTTGGGGATTCCTTCACGGATACTACATTTGAAGAAAAACACAACACAAGACAAATACACAAACTCAAACAAAGAAACACACACGCATATTGTGACTTTGCTTTAACATCACAGCGTGGTACAAGAGGGGAACGAGTGTGTGCGTTTACTGGGACAATACATGTTATGCACATGGCAGAAGTTCCACCTTTGATGACATACCATCACATTTGTCTGTTGTAGCGTTCTTGACGTAGCCGCTGTCGCAGTCGCAGGAGAAGGACCCGACGGAGTTGTTACAGGTGGAGTTTGGTGTCCCGCTACATGTACTGGTGTTCTGGCACTCGTCAATATCTGTGCACACATAAGCAGATAGTATGGCGGATGTTGAATGAGAAAATATACTACATGTACATCAACAAAATACACATGAAAATCAAGTTAAATTGCAATCAAACGTTTGCAAGAAGCATAAGCTTGATCCGTGGAAGTTTGTGACCATCAAACTTTGAGGAAACGATGATGATAACGAAAGTGAGGAAGAAGATCAAATAACTTACATGAAGATGAAAAATGTTTTGGTACATTGTCACACACTGTAAAGGTTGAACATCAGTTGCTACAGTGGAAGGAGTTCCAGCAATAGATGCTACATTTGTCGGTGGCGACTTCACTCACCATCACAGAGACTGGTGGTAGAATTCTTAGCGTATCCAGAGACACAGTCACAACTGTAGTTTCCGTCTGTGTTGGTGCAGTTGGAGTTGGCCAGTCCAGAGCAGATGGTTGTGTTCGCGGTACACTCGTCAATGTCTGACGAGGGACAAACAACTCAAATCAGTCTCATACACACAAGCGCTACATGTCATGTTTCTTTTATACTTGAAGGTGGAATTGGCAAGAAACGGTGATGGTTTTCAGTCGGATTGGTTGTATGCTGTTGATTTTGGTATTCAATGAAAACAGCAATATGTTTCTTTTAGCTATTTTAGCAAGGAGCTTCCTGTTTTGATCTTGGGATTCCTTCACGGATACTACATTTGAAGAAAAACACAACACAAGACAAAACACAAACTCCAAACAAAGAAACACACACATATTGTGACTTTGCTTTAACATCACAGCGTGGTGCAAGAGAGCGAGTGTGTGCGTTTACTGGGACAATACATGTTATGCACATGGCAGAAGTTCCACCTTTGATGACATACCATCACATTTGTCTGTTGTAGCGTTCTTGACGTAGCCGTTATCGCAATCGCAGGAGAAGGACCCGACGGAGTTGTTACAGTTGGAGTTTGGTGTCCCGCTACACGTACTGGTGTTCTGACACTCGTCAATATCTGTGCAACACATAAACAGCCAGTATGGCGGATGTTGAATGAGAAAATATACTACATGTACTTCAACAAAATACACATGAAAATCAAGTTAAATTGCAAGCAAACGTTTGCAAGAAGCATGGCTTGATCCGTTGAAGTTTGTGACCGTCAAACTTTGAGGGAAACGATGATGATAACGAAAGTGAGGAAGAAGATCAAATAACTTACACATGAAGATGAAAAATGTTTTGGTACATTGTCACACACTGTAAAGGTTGAACATCAGTTGCTACAGTGGAAGGAGTTCCAGCAATAAATGCTACATTTGTCGGTGGCGACTTCACTCACCATCACAGAGACTGGTGGTAGAATTCTTAGCGTATCCAGAGACACAGTCACAACTGTAGTTTCCGTCTGTGTTGGTGCAGTTGGAGTTGGCCAGCCCAGAGCAGATGGTTGTGTTCGCGGTACACTCGTTATCGTCTGACAAGGGACAAACAACTCAAATCAGTCTCATACACACAAGCGCTACATGTCATGTTTCTTTTATACTTGGAGGTGGAATTGGCAAGAAACAGTGATGGTTTTCAATCGGATTGGTTGTATGCTGTTGATATTGGTATTCAATGAAAACAGCAATATGTTTCTCTTAGCTATTTTAGCAAGGAGCATCCTGTTTTGATCTTGGGATTCCTTCACGGATACTACATTTGAAGAAAAACACAACACAAGACAAAACACAAACTCCAAACAAAGAAACACACACATATTGTGACTTTGCTTAAACATCACGGCGTGGTGCAAGAGAGCGACTGTGTGCGTTTACTGGGACAATACATGTTATGCACATCGCAGAAGTTCCACCTTTGATGACATACCATCACATTTGTCTGTTGTAGCGTTCTTGACGTAGCCGTTGTCGCAGTCGCAGGAGAAGGACCCGACGGAGTTGTTACAGGTGGACTTTGGTGTCCCGCTACACGTACTGGTGTTCTGACACTCGTCAATATCTGTGCCACACATAAGCAGACAGTATGGCGGATATTGAATGAGAAAATATACTACATGTACATCTACAAAATACACATGAAAATCAATCTTAATTGGATGCAAACTTTTGCAAGAAGCTCGGCTTGATCCGTGGAAGGCAGACTGTCAATTTTTGTGGAGAAGATGATGATAACGAAAATGAGGAAGAAGATCAAATAACTTACATATGAAGATGAAAAATGTTTTGGTACATTGTCCCACATTATAGAAGTTGAAAGTCAGTTGCTACAGTGGAAGGAGTTCCAGCAATAGATGCTACATTTGTCGGTGGCGACTTCACTCACCATCACAGAGACTGGTGGTAGAATTCTTAGCGTATCCAGAGACACAGTCACAACTGTAGTTTCCGTCTGTGTTGGTGCAGTTGGAGTTGGCCAGTCCAGAGCAGATGGTTGTGCTCGCGGTACACTCGTCAATGTCTGACAAGGGACAAACAACTCAAATCAATCTCATTCACACAATCGCCTCCACGTGGTTAAGAGCTACATTTCATGTTTCTTTCATACTTGGTGGTGGAACTGGCAAGAAACAGTGATGGTTTTCAGTCGGATTTGTTGTATGCTGTTGAATTGGTATTCAATGAAAACAGCAATATGTTTCTTTTAGCTATTTTAGCAAGGAGCATGCTTTTATGATCTTGGGATTCCATCACGGATACTACATTTGAAGATAAACACAAAACCAGACAATCTCCACACAAACACACACACACGAGCATACGCACGCATAGATTGTGACTTTGCTTTAACATCAAAGTGTGGTGCAAGAGAACGAGTGTGTGCGTTTACTGGGACAATACATGTTATGCACATGGCAGGAGAAGTTCCACACTTTTGATGACATACCATCACATTTGTCTGTTGTAGCGTTCTTGACGTAGCCGATGTCGCAGTCGCAGGAGAAGGACCCGCCGGAGTTGTTACAGGTGGAGTTTGGTGTCCCGCTACATGTGCTGGTGTCCTGGCACTCGTCAATATCTGTGCCACACATAAGCAGACAGTATGGCGGATGTTGAATGAGAAAATAACTACATGTTCCTCACATGAAAATCAATTTTAATTACAGACGTTTTGCAAGAAGCATGGCTCGACCCGTGGAAGGTTGTGACCATCAAACTTTGTGGAGAAGATGATGATAACGAAAATGAGGAAGACGATCGAATAACTTACACATGAAGATGAAAAATGTTTTGTTACATTGTCACACATTGTAAAAGTTGAACATCAGTTGCTACAGTGGAAGGAGTTCCAGCAATAGATGCTACATTTGTCGGTGTCGACTTCACTCACCATCACAGAGAATGGTGGTAGAATTCTTAGCGTATCCAGAGACACAGTCACAACTGTAGCTTCCGCCTGTGTTGGTGCAGTTGGAGTTGGCCAGTCCAGAGCAGATGGTTGTGTTCGCGGTACACTCGTTAACGTCTGACAACAGGGTCATTATGTTGAAAAATCTTTGCATTGTGAACTACATCCAAATGTTAATACATGTATTCCCTTAACGTTCATCTTTGATTACAAGTTAGACTTACAACTAGTCTTTGAAGTGAAGATATTGTAAGGAAAAACGGTTCATAATCAAAATAAATATAATGAAAAGGAGACCTGAGATATTCTTCATTTTGACCATGGAAATCTAGACTTGCCACATATTCAGGGTCTGTATGATACACTAAATACAGGTGTCAATGAGGATTTCAAATATACATTGGCTGACTTGGTCTGACCACATTTTTAAGACAAAATGTGATGAAAATCAGATCGTGCTGAACGATGTTTTTATTGGAAAAGAGTTTGCATACATTGTTTCAGTTTTAAGTATACTGAACAGCAAAAGAAACGCAAGTTTCGAAAAAATGAAATTTAATGAAGGTAAGCTTTCATGTTTATGGAACGGTCATGGCAAAGTGACGTCATGATCCCCGATGAGATGAGGTCATGCAATTTGACGTCCATACGAAACACTGGCACAAACACAACCACAGTGCAGCAAAGCCACAATTTTAGCACGTGCATCGACGGTTCTGGATGGAAAGCATGCATTTCACTCTGAGGTATCCTTTATAAAGGTTTGTGTCAAAAAACAGTTCAGTATTGACGCTAGGAGGTGTACACGCCACACAGACGATGCCTAGACTAACGACTGAGCTGAGGGGAATGGCCATTGGAAAGTTGCACGGAGGTAACTCTGCAACCGCTGTAGCTAGACAATTGGGCTGTCATTTTACTGCCATTACACGACTTGCTCAACGTTATCAGCAAACCGGGGTTGCTGCTGATAGTCCCTGTACCGGACGGCAACGAGTGACAACTCATACACAAGATCGGTTCATCCGGGTCACTCATCTAAGGAACCGAAATCAAGCAGCAACAGTAACAGCAGCCTTAGTTCTTGTGTCAAGGGGAGCAGTGTCCAGCGATACGATTAGGCGTCGTCTTTGGGCTGCCTGAATCCACTGCCGAAGGCCATATGTGGGGCCAATTTTGGCACGTCAACAACGCCAATGACGTTTGCAGCCCTCACAGCAAGGGTGTCGATGGATTGTCTGGCTCAGAACAACATTAACATTTTTCCATGGCCGTCTCTTTCCCGGATATGGCTCCCACTGAACATTCTGGGACGAAATTGGACGGAGGATTGGGGCAGGTAGACAGCCACTCACACTTGCACAATTGGAATAGAGATTGGTGTTTGGGCGGAACCAATTGCCTCAGGCGTCCTTTCAGGCTCTAGTGAACTCAGTGAGGCCACGTTGCACGGCCTGTGTGCAAGCTCAAGGTGGCTATATGCGCTACTAAAGAGACTGTCACTTTTCGCGTTCAGGGGTATCTCCATTTGACGGACTGTGATCAATTTGAACTTATTGCAATTCAATGTCAACCGCAACTTTTAGCTGTTAAATTGACGTTGTTTTCTATAGAAAAAATGATTAGACATGATTTTGGTTGTCTTCTATTAGAAAACTTGACAAAAAGCCAGACTTGCGTTTCTTTTGCTGTTCAGTATAGTATAGTGTGATATGATGTTGAACAAGAAGCAAATGTATTTTCATAAGTTTTATATTTATCAGTGTATTCCTGTTAAACACAGTAAAATTGTTTGAAATATCTAATGTCTCACCAGTGCAGTTGTTACCCGTCCCATCGTAGCCATCAAAACAGGAGCAATCATGCCCACCTAAAGTGTTTGTGCAATTCTGTGAACATGTGTTGAGATCTCCGTCTAGACACTCATTGACATCTGAAACATGCAGCATATACCTGCACATGAATACATACAGTGTTGGGTGTGGGCATATTGCTATATGCACACACACCCTTATGGGTAAAGCACATACCATTGCATCATACTCAGCATATTGGTCTAGCACATACCATGGCATTATACACAGCCTTATGGGTCTAACACATACCATTGCATCATATTCAGCATATTGGTCAAGCACATGGGTCATTCTCAGAAAAAGGCCAAATTCATGCTATGAAAAATATGAAAATACAAAGCATCATATTGAATTATCTCTGTATTGTTTTGAATGGTCAACACATTAAAAAATGCAGTCATGATAATTTGCACACAGGAAAGTAAAAAATATTTTTAAAATAAATTTTTTAAAGTATCCACTGAAAAAACCCCGTCAGTGGTGTAACAAGCATAAAAGTAATTTTTTCAAACTTTGATGTGAGATTAGGAATTTTTCACTTTTGTCACTATTTACAAACTATTTTTTTTAAAAATGTAAATTAAATCATTTTATTATTCTAACAAATTTAATTGTAAATTTGGCAAAACTGTCTTGGTGTGAGAAGAATGAAATGGTAACATATGATATTTCTTCTGATATAACTTGTATACTTAAGACTAATCATGTGTGATGTATACATTGGTATTAAAGCTGCTTTCAGTTATCATAAAATATCAGTCTAACTGTTAAATTAATTTTTTGAAATAATTAAATCTTAGCAAATACGCATGTTACACCACTGATATTGTTTGTTACCCCGCCTGTTACACCACTGAATTTTCTGCAACTTACTAGAGCAGTAAACCAAATCAACAGCCATATGATGCTTTGAATTACTGAATAATCATCATTGGAGAACGATTTTCAAAATGTGGCATTGAAAAACTAATAATATAAACAGGTAAGAATAAAATTTACAAATTCAAAGAATACTGTGAAACCAATGACATGTTGTGTTACACTATTGACTTTTCTTTACCTTACTGCAAAGATAAATCCAAATTAATAGCCTTTAATTAATAATCAACAGATTTGAACAGCTCAATAGCAAATTCTGAACACTCAGATTTTAAAAGGTTTTTCAAAAATAATATAACAAAACAAAACAATTAACATAATGTAGTAATATTGTCACACCAATGACATCTTTTGTTACACCACTGATTTTTCTTGAATTAACTTAACGATAAATTCAAATTAATTGCCTTTAATTGATCATTAACAGATCAATAGCAAATTCAGATCACTCAGACTTTAAAAGGCTTTTCAAAAATAATATTAAAAGCAATAAAATGAACATATTGCAGTAACATCGTTACACCAATGACATCTTTTGTTACACCACTGATCTTTCTGAACTTTATATACTAATATACCAGAACAAATAACCTTCACAGACTTTACATGACTTAATGGCAATAAAATATACTGGATAAATACAATGCAAAGCAGTTAGGTTTTGTGAACAAGTGTTTTAAATGAACATTTTGTCAGTGGTGTAGCAAAAACTGTCAGTGGTGTAACATTTTCCCATGTTATACCAATGACAGTTACACCACTGACCTATTCCCACTTTTATGAACTTTATAACAATTAATGCTCCCTAACCACTGACCAATGTTGATAAATGTTGATGTTTCCTTAACTTTGATGTACTTCAAATGAACAATGTTATGAAAAAGTACATATGAATAAGTAATCAGCGTTACACAACTGACTCGATAAAAAGTTATGATACAAAGTAGACTCACCAATTGCAACAAACTTCAAGATCAAAATAAAATTTGGCCTCCACTAAACTCCTGCCATGAGGAGGAAGGCATCAGCAAAGGGACCAGTTAGTATTCCATATTTTACTCAAGGGGGATAATTATTTATGTCACAAATGTATATTCGTTACACCACTGACTGTGACATTTTGGACAGTCATTGTTTTCATCATAAGTATGTGATTTTTTTTTCTTTCAATATTTCATGCAGGAATGCGTTTTTAATATTGGTATTTAATTATAAATCTTTAAAAAATATATATAAATGGCCTGGAATTTAAACTTTATGGTACTCCAAAGTAATGTCGCTGTCCACTGACAGTGATTTCACCCAAAAAAAACCCCAACTTTGTCCCCAAAATAACAAACAGGTACACCATTTTACATCATTATGAGGAACAGAATACATTTTTCTTTGAAAAAAAAAATTGAAATAATATTTTCAGAGAAATGTGCTACTGACCAAAACTTGGGCAAATTTTGAGAATGACCCATATACCATTGCATCATATACAGCCTTATGGGTCTAACACATACCATTGCATCATACTTAGCATATTGGTCTAGCACATGCCATTGCATCATACTCAGCATATAGGTCTAGAACATACCATTGCATCATACACAGCATATAGGTCTAGCACATACCATTGCATCATACTCAGCATATAGGTCTAGAACATACCATTGCATCATACTCAGCATATAGGTCTAGAACATACCATTGCATCATACTCAGCATATAGGTCTAGCACATACCATTGCATCATACTCAGCATATAGGTCTAGAACATACCATTGCATCATACTCAGCATATAGGTCTAGAACATACCATTGCATCATACTCAGCATATAGGTCTAGCACATATCATTGCATCATACATAACGTTGTGGAACTGGTACACATTATTCCATACATATCAGTAGGGGACAAGCACATATGTCTACATAACCATAATTGTTCATGTGTTTCATGTTCTTGGGACATTATTCACACACAATGGTGAAGGGAGACTGTTTTAGGTCGGTATAGTGTTTTCGATATCACCAAGGGTAGTCATAAACTGATAAAACCCCATATATATCGAACTTATTGAATAAAACAACACAACAATGTCACCATGGTCCGTGTACACGCCCAATTTATGGAATACACCCACTTACGAGGATCCGAAAACTGGTTCTTACCATCACACATCTTAGTGGTAGGATTTTGCAGGAACCCGCTGTTACATCTGCAGATGAAGGAGCCGTTTGTGTTGTTACAGTTGGAGTCGGGTGTGCCGACACATATGGTGACGTTGTCTGTGCATTCATTGACATCTTCGCTGCAATTATCCCCCTTCCATCCAGTATTACACGTGCACGCGCCATTAGTGCTGTTGCAGGCGACGGAGTTGACGCCACACGTGCATCTGTTTGCACAGTTCTTACCCCAGTGGTTTGAGTCACAGGCTGAAATATTGGAAATGTATTCTTCAGGAACACCTTGTACACCTTGTACGTACAGGGCAATGGATAGACGGAGCCTGAAGGCATCCTCGGTGTGTTGTGCCATCTGATATCCGATATTTACAGAACAGCAAGACCCGATATTTACAGATGAGCAAGACCCGATAATTGCAGAACAGCAAACAGATCACTTAGCAGCAATATTCCAGCGGTCTGTAGATCTTTTTATTTAGCTTAAGTTATCTTTAAACAACAACATTCAATCATCGGCAGAATGAGACGCAAAACGTTTTGCCATGATTTTTCCTGAACGGTCATAGAGGGAGATAACTCGCGATGGCTTAGTTTATGAAAAAATATCGAATTTGAGGTTTAGTTAAACGACAAGTGAAATACAGAAACATTTTACTTTATGGATATATTTATTGACAGAAACAAATAAGAAATTATGGCAACAATTGTATTACTCTGTTTATAATCATTATTGCATACGCCAACTCTAAAATTTCGAAGCGATCAGCCGTTTGGCAGCCACATTCCATCTAAGGTAAAGGTCATTCGTACAACCCGTGTAGTGTGTCACATAACAGATTTGAGGAGGTGTACGGTTCGTACACCCTGGCAAATCCGCCTACATGGTTTGTTATGCTTTGGGTATTGACCAATCAGAATTTATCTTAAGGGTAATAAGATGTCATATGTCAACCAAGTCACTAATCCTGACTGACCACCCGATCCCGTTAGTCGCCTCTTACGACAAGCATGGGTTGCTGATGACCAATTCTAACTTAGATCTTCACGGGTCGTGTGTGTCAGATAGTACATTACCATCATTGACGAAATGTACTTAATTACTATGTCACAGTACGGGTTTTGACTTGCCATATAGCTCTTGAAAATGTGTGAAAAAGTCATTGCGACATTCTCTGCCCTGATGTTGCTAGAATATTGCTAAAAGTTACGTACTCATCGTACACGTATACATTTAGGAATATTATATTGTTCGTAACCGATGCGATATTAGTACCCACCTTGACACGAATTGAACGCTGTCCTAAAGAATCCGTCATCACACTCGCAGATGAAACTTCCGTTTGTGTTGGTGCAGAAGCTGTTAGCGCTGCAGTTGGTGGTGTCGCACTCGTTCACGTCGTCGGAACACGTGTCCCCCTCCCATCCTTTGAGACAGGTGCATGAGCCGTTGACCTTATCGCACGTCACAGTGTTGACAACGTTGCAGCTGCAGTTACTCCTGCAGTCTTGTCCAAAGGTACCTTGTACACAATCTGGTGGAATGGAAGAGTACTGTTACATCACTGGTAGTATGATGCATGTGTTCGCTGAGTGAGTGAGTTCAGTTTTACGCCGCACTCAGTAGTATTCCAGTTATATGGCGGCTGTCTGTTAATAATCGAGTCTGGACCAGACAATCCAGTCATCAACATTATGAGCATCGATCTACGCAATTGGGAACCGATGACATGTGTCAACCAAGTCAGCGAGCCTGACCACCCGATCCCGTTAGTCGTTTCTTACAACAAGCATGGGTTACTGAGACCAATTCTAACCCGGATCTTCACTATGATTCAGAGATTTCTCTAAAGCTTCAGCCTTCAAGGCCTCAGTAAGGTTTTCAAAATGTTTAATATTACACCCGCGTATGATATTTCCAAATTTCATGTATCGGACGAATATCTGATGCAGTTTCCTATATTGATCTGTACCGTATGTCGACGTACGTTTCCTCATGTATAATTGCGTTGCCTTTGCATGCGTTTGATTGGAAGAATACAATCACCTTTTCGCGGACGCCTGGGTAGTATTTGTGTGTATATGGGTGCGTGATGCGTGTGTGTGTGTGTGCGTGTGTGTGTGTGTGTGTGTCCTGTCTGTCTGTGTCTGCGTGCGTGTGCGAGTCAGGTGTGGTGTAGGAGTTGTGAGGAATAGCTGAAGTTACAAAGACACGTTGTAAAGGTCGTAAGTGACCACCTACTAAGCTGGGCCCCATCTCGCATATGGCAAGGTTACGCGCGCAAAGGGAGCCGGGAACCAGCTTAACCACCTACCTGCACACGTGACACCGTCATTCTGGAGTTTGGAGCCATTGTTACAAACGCACTCATAGCCGCCGCCATTTTCTATGTTCCTGCAGGTGGCGCCCCCTGTAGCACAAGGATCTGTCACTTCTGTGCACTCGTCGACATCTGAATTATACGACATAATTTCAGTTGAAAAACAGTAAAATAGGGTGAATTTGAAAACACAAAGTTGTACACAGTATAACGTTAGACAAAGCCCAGTACTAAATGGAGCACATTAAAACGCCATATAACAGGACACTGCAAGTAACACAATGAAGCAGATACACTGAAAGCGACCTTGAGCCGACTTCAATCACGCACCATTTCAAAGAAAAAGGAGGGTAAAATGCACTTGTTCATAGTTAACCCACTTCTGTATCCACGTGGGAACAAGAGTGAGTGAGTGAATTTGGTTCTACGCCGCTTTCAGGAACATTCCGGCTATAACATCGAGGGCATCCGTCATTGTAACCGTACGGGACCTCTTGAGCCTGACAGGAGAAGGCTTAATCACTAGTTACCCCACCGTAACGGGAGTACCTCATTGATCAGAGGTCGCGGCACCGCGGCGTAAAACCCAACTCACTCACTAATCAGCATATTCTGTCCTCCGCGTGAGTATATAACTGTGCATCAACAGGTATTTAGGACAGTAGTAATAAAGCATACGTACTAAACAGGCATCGGACTATCGTAAAAGAAAGCATTTATTTAGAACTCACCAACGCACAATGATGAGTTTGAAGGGTGTTCCTTGAATCCACTGTTGCAGAAGCAGGACTCGTTCCCTTGGTCCACCTGACATCCCTGTAAACACTGGAGTGTCGTGCACTCGGTCGCCGCTGTAACACAGACGGTGTAAAACATGGTCAGGTAAGATGATGATAATCACCATTACATCACATAAAGACGAAGTTTAAAGATTGAATGAGATGATCAGCTGAACACGACCATAACGTAAAGACAGTGTTTAAAGATTGAATGAGATGATCAGCTGAACACGACAATAACGTAAAGACAGTGTTGAAAGAAGGAATGAGATGATCAGCTGAACACGACCATAACGTAAAGACGAAGTTTAAAGATTGAATGAGATGAGCAGCTGAACACGACCATAACGTAATGACAGTGTTGAAAGAAGGAATGAGATGAGCAGCTGAACACGACAATAACGTAATGACAGTGTTGAAAGAAGGAATGAGATGAGCCGCTGAACACGACAATAACGTAATGACAGTGTTGAAAGAAGGAATGAGATGAGCAGCTGAACACGACAATAACGTAATGACAGTGTTGAAAGACTGAATGAGATGGGAAGCTGAACACGGCAATAACGTAAAGACAGTGTTTAAAGAAGGAATGAGATGATCAGCTGAACACGACAATAACGTAAAGACAGTGTTGAAAGAAGGAATGAGATGAGCAGCTGAACACGACCATAACGTAAAGACGAAGTTTAAAGATTGAATGAGATGAGCAGCTGAACACGACAATAACGTAATGACAGTGTTGAAAGAAGGAATGAGATGAGCAGCTGAACTCGACAATAACGTAATGACAGTGTTGAAAGAAGGAATGAGATGAGCAGCTGAACACGACCATATCGTAAAGACGTGTTTAAAGATTGAATGAGATGATCAGCTGAACACGACAATAACGTAAAGACAGTGTTGAAAGAAGGAATGAAATGAGCAGCTGAACACGACAATAACGTAAAGACAGTGTTTAAAGAAGGAATGAGATGATCAGCTGAACACGACAATAACGTTAAGACAGTGTTTAAAGATTGAATGAGATGATCAGCTGAACACGACAATAACGTAAAGACGAAGTTTAAAGATTGAATGAGATGATCAGCTGAACACGACCATAACGTAAAGACAGTGTTTAAAGATTGAATGAGATGATCAGCTGAACACGACAATAACGTAAAGACAGTGTTGAAAGAAGGAATGAGATGATCAGCTGAACACGACCATAACGTAAAGACGAAGTTTAAAGATTGAATGAGATGAGCAGCTGAACACGACCATAACGTAATGACAGTGTTGAAAGAAGGAATGAGATGAGCAGCTGAACACGACAATAACGTAAAGACAGTGTTGAAAGAAGGAATGAGATGAGCCGCTGAACACGACAATAACGTAAAGACAGTGTTGAAAGAAGGAATGAGATGAGCAGCTGAACACGACAATAACGTAAAGACAGTGTTGAAAGACTGAATGAGATGGGAAGCTGAACACGGCAATAACGTAAAGACAGTGTTTAAAGAAGGAATGAGATGATCAGCTGAACACGACAATAACGTAAAGACAGTGTTGAAAGAAGGAATGAGATGAGCAGCTGAACACGACCATAACGTAAAGACGAGTGTTTAAAGATTGAATGAGATGAGCAGCTGAACACGACAATAACGTAAAGACAGTGTTGAAAGAAGGAATGAGATGAGCAGCTGAACTCGACAATAACGTAATGACAGTGTTGAAAGAAGGAATGAGATGAGCAGCTGAACACGACCATATCGTAAAGACGTGTTTAAAGATTGAATGAGATGATCAGCTGAACACGACAATAACGTAAAGACAGTGTTGAAAGAAGGAATGAAATGAGCAGCTGAACACGACAATAACGTAAAGACAGTGTTTAAAGAAGGAATGAGATGATCAGCTGAACACGACAATAACGTAAAGACAGTGTTTAAAGATTGAATGAGATGATCAGCTGAACACGACAATAACGTAAAGACAGTGTTTAAAGAAGGAATGAGATGAGCAGCTGAACACGACAATAACGTAAAGACAGTGTTTAAAGATTGAATGAGATGATCAGCTGAACACGACAATAACGTAAAGACAGTGTTGAAAGAAGGAATGAGATGATCAGCTGAACACGACAATAACGTTAAGACAGTGTTTAAAGAAGGAATGAGATGATCAGCTGAACACGACAATAACGTTAAAGACAGTGTTTAAAGATTGAATGAGATGATCAGCTGAACACGACAATAACGTAAAGACAGTGTTTAAAGATTGAATGAGATGAGCAGCTGAACACGACAATAACGTAAAGACAGTGTTTAAAGATTGAATGAGATGATCAGCTGAACACGACAATAACGTAAAGACAGTGTTGAAAGAAGGAATGAGATGATCAGCTGAACACGACAATAACGTAAAGACAGTGTTGAAAGAAGGAATGAGATGAGCAGCTGAACACGACAATAACGTAAAAACAGTGTTTAAAGATTGAATGAGATGATCAGATGAACAAGACCATAACGTAAAGACAGTGTTTAAAGAAGGAATGAGATGAGCCGCTGAACACGACAATAACGTTAAGACAGTGTTGAAAGAAGGAATGAGATGAGCCGCTGAACACGACAATAACGTAAAGACAGTGTTGAAAGAAGGAATGAGATGAGCCGCTGAACACGACAATAACGTAAAAACAGTGTTTAAAGATTGAATGAGATGATCAGCTGAACACGACAATAACGTAAAGACAGTGTTTAAAGAAGGAATGAGATGAGCAGCTGAACACGACAATAACGTAAAGACAGTGTTGAAAGAAGGAATGAGATGAGCCGCTGAACACGACAATAACGTAAAGACAGTGTTGAAAGAAGGAATGAGATGGGCAGCTAAACACAAAAAGAAATGCCTGGTCCGAGACATTAAAACAGCAGAATTTCTACACAGCAGGCGTAATTCAAATTTATCAATGCACCTGGATATTCCGGTTAATCGATCACAGCCGTCAAATGGTAGGGGCAACGCCAGGTTGCAAATACTTACCTTTTTAGGCACTTTTCGTGAATGGCGGATGGTACCGGTAGGGCAGGGCGTGGTTACCCTTTTTGCAAACACCTACTGTGATCACCGATTGACAGTGATCCATTCAAATACATTTCACAACCGTTTTCCATTTTACACCAAAACGAATATATTCATGAGGATAGACTAGACTGTGTATTCTTTCGCACGGACGCTATATTTTAGATGTAATTACACAAACATGGGCTTGACGAAAGGGATATGGTGAGATACGGGGTGAATTTTGGAGGGGGGATGTGCTCTATGTTTGTCGTATATAGACCATTGTAACAGATGAACCATGTAAATCTCCACTGTGTTATAGTCTAATCGTATATTGTTGTCTAATCTCATTTGTGGACCACTGACCAACACAGGAGCGTCTGTCGCTGGCCTGGAGCAGGAAGCCGGGGCGGCAGCTGCAGACATAACCTCCATCAGTGTTCCTGCAGTTGTGTTGACACTCGTCCTTCCCTGTCGCACACTCGTCAACATCTGTAACAACAATAGTATATGTCAACGTGGGCTCTGAACGTTAAGAGGGTGGGGTACTCTTTTGTTTAAAGTGCTCGCTCGTCAGACTAAAGACCCTGGTTCTATTCCCCACATTGGTATATCTCTGGTATCCGGTGAGAATCTCTAAAGTGTTGAAAGTTTTCGCTCGCCAGACCAAAGACCCGGGTTCTATTCCCCACATTGGTATCTCTGTGGTATCCGGTGAGAATCTCTAAAGTGTTGAAAGTTTTGCGCTCGCCAGACCAAAGACCTGGGTTCTATTCCCCACATTGGTATATCTCTGGTATCCGGTGAGAATCTCTAAAGTGTTGAAAGTTTTCGCTCGCCAGACCAAAGACCCGGGTTCTATTCCCCACATTGGTATATCTCTGGTATCCGGTGAGAATCTCTAAAGTGTTGAAAGTTTTCGCTCGCCAGACCAAAGACCCGGGTTCTATTCCCCACATTGGTATATCTCTGGTATCCGGTTAGCATCTCTAAAGTGTTGAAAGTTTTAGGTCGCCAGACCAAAGACCCGGGTTCTATTCCCCACATTGGTATATATCTCTGGTATCCGGTTAGAATCTCTAAAGTGTTGAAAGTTTTCGCTCGCCAGATCAAAGACCCGGGTTCTATTCCCCACATTGGCATATCTCTGGTATCCGGTTAGAATCTCTAAAGTGTTGAAAGTTTTCGCTCGCCAGACCAAAGACCCGGGTTCTATTCCCCACATGGGTATATTTCTGGTATCGGGAGAGAATCTCTAATGTCAACATTATAGAGTCATTTTGAGTCATGATGCATCCACATTGTCAAACAACAAAGTTGAAATTTTGTTCTACAAACATTCAAATTAGAAATTATTATTTTCCTGGAACAGAATGGCAATTTTACGGAAGCGTAGTAGGGGCACGGTGAAATTTTTGTGTGTGTCACTATCTCCTACGTAGGAGTTATTAAGTCCTACGTAGGAGATAGTATGTGTCCTACGTAGGAGATACTATGTTCTGCGTAGGAGATACTATGTCCTACGTAGGAGATACTAAGTCCTACGTAGGAGATCCCCACTAAGGAGATACTAACTCCTACGTAGGAGATATTAAGTCCTACGTAGAAGATAGTAAGTCCTACGTAGGAGATATTAAGTACTACGTAGGAGATAGTAAGTCCTACGTAGGAGATATTAAGTACTACGTAGGAGATAGTAAGATCAAAAAAATTTTCACCGTGGCCCTACTACGCCTCCATACAATTTAACTGGAACTTAGGCTCTCATTTTTAATATTACTCGTGTCTAGTTGATATGGGCGGCCTGTGGCTTGTCCACATTACAATGCTATTAGAATACGTGTAAGCACCTGTTAAAACCCATGGGGCGGTGGGGTAGCCTAGTGGTTAGGGACCGTTCATAACTTATGGCTAGGGGGTTGATGATGATTTTTATGGAAAAGCATCTACAAAATTGTACAAAATTCATGACCCCCACCACCCCAGATCATGACCCCACCACCCACAGATCAAAATGAGTCTCACACTCACACACACACACACACACACACACACACACACACACACACACACACACACACACTCACTCACTCACACACACACAAACCATACCTTAAAATCATCATCACCCCCGCTAGCCATTAATTATGAACGGTCCCTTGAAGCGTTCGATCGTCACGCCGAAGACACGTGTTTGATTCCCCATATGGGTACAACGTGTGAAGCCCGTTTCTGGTGACCACGCCTTTATATTGCTGGAATAGTGCTAAAAGCGGCGTTAAACTATACTCACTCACTCACTCACTCAAACTCACTGTTAAGACTCACCTCTGCATCTGTCCGTCTCTCTGACATAGCCATCGTTGCACTCGCAGACAAACGAGCCTACGTTGTTAATGCATTTCTGGTCACAGGTATTCAACGCTTGTTCATCACATTCGATGATATCTGAACAATCAAGAATGAATATCATCAGTGATAAGCGGTACACTAAGCAGGAGGTTGAGATAGGTTGAATGATGTAGAGGGTTCGCATCGTTCACAGGTCTGTTTGCTCTCCATTAGCTAACCACTAAAGCTTTTAAGGGATAAACAATTTAAGTCACTGTGTTGAAATAATAATTTATTTACTTTGTCTGTAAATAAAGAAAACATTACCATAGATGAAATGACATGAAATGTCTAAAGGTTTAAGTATTATTTTCTATTTTCTGGAATCGAACCCTTATTACTTATTTGGCGGGGTGGTGGGGTAGCCTAGTGGATAAAACATTCGCTCGTCACGCTGAAGACCCGGGTTCGATTCCCCACATGGGTACAATGTGTGAAGAACATTTCTGGTGTCCCCGCCGTGACATTGCTGAATATTGCTAAAAGCGGCGTTAAACTAAACTCACTCACTCACTCACATACTTGGCACAGTTTCAGCTGTCAGAACTACCTTTTTTAATTCAAACCACTTTAACACGATATGTTTTAGGCTCTTCTACAGTGAGCATTTTGAGGTATGAAAGATTGTTTTCCCTTTATAAAATGACGGCTTGTAAGAAAATACCCTCGAATTTGTTACGGGGGAGTAACGGACAGAAGTGAACTAACAGAGCCCGAAGGTCTCGCGAGATGCTACTTCCGATACCAGATTTCGGTGACAAGCGTGTATTAAAACAGTTCTGGTTCCAAACTGCGCCACCGACAAATGTCACTTTAGTAGACCCGACCAAGTGTACTACAACACAGAACTTTCAGAAAGAGAAGTCAGGTGAGATAATATCCTCAAAATTGTTACGGTGGAATAAAGAACAGAAGTGAACTAGTTGTTAAAGGAACTATATCTGACTGACGATTATTCAAAACTATAATTAACAATAGACTAAAATATTGAGTCGTCTCACCGTCGCAGGTGTTGGTGACGTTGTTAAGTCTGTATCCGGATCTACACACACATCTGTAGGAGCCGGGATTGTTGACACAGTCGGAGCTCTGCGGACAAACAGCCCCTTGTGCACACTCGTCCCTGTCTTGGTCGCACCTCAGCCCCAGCCAACCGTCCTTACACTGGCATCCCTCCTTCTTGTCGCAGGTGGTAGCGCCCACGCCACACCCACACTCGTTGGCGCATCCAACCCCCCAGTGCTGATCATCGCATTCTGAAAAAGAGACATCATATGAGATCCGGCTGTCCTGTTCAAACCATCCTGGGTCAGGATCCACAAAGCGGTCGTAACGTTACGACCTATCGTAACTCAATCCTTTATCATTCAGTTGGCTTAGTGTGGCATAGTGCTTCGCTCGCTTCGTGGATCGGGACCCAGAGGCGTACCTTAGGGATTTTGAAACGTAAGTAAACGTGTTACAATACTTGTGTCTCTTACACACTAAACAAACGCACCTTGTACACTATGTATGAAGACCCGTGACGATCCGGGTTAGAATTGATCTTCAGTAACCCATGCTTGTTGTAAGAGGCGACTAACGGGATCGGATGGTCAGGCTCGCTGATTTGGTTGACACATGTCATCGGTTCCCAATTGCGTAGATTTATGCTCATGCTGTTGATCACTGGATTGTCTGGTCCAGACTCGATTATTTACAGACCACCGCCATATAGCTGGAATACTGATGAGTGCAGTGTACAACTAAACTCACTCACTCACCTGAGTTTCATTTGAGTGATTCAGTATACATATTTATATGTCAGCATGTGTATCCTTGCAAACTCAACCATTTGAAAGAGAAGAAGGACTAAACCCGTGGAGGACATGCCCCAATATTAAACATGCACTCACCTCTGCACGTGGTTTTATCATTGTCGAGTTTGAAGCCAATTGGACAATTGCATTTAAACCCTCCATCGGTGTTCTCACAGGTTCCGCCGCCGCTGCATTTGTTCAGCGCTGGATCGTCACACTCAACAATATCTGCAGAGGACATTATCAAGATACAGTTTATCCATCATTAGATGTTACCAGAAAAAGAATCACCTTTGAGTTACAATTTACAAATTAAAGTTCATTTGTAACAGGGCGGTGGGGTAGCCTAGTGGTTAAAGCGTCACGCTGAAGACCCGGGTTCGATTCCCCACATGATTACAATGTGTTAAGCCCATTTCTGGTGTCCTCTGTCGTGATATTGCTGGAATGTTGCTAAAAGTGGCGTAAAATTACACTCACTCATTTGTAACAATGATTCGAATACAGGGTCTTTGGTTCCTCTCAATTTTCGGTGACCTTAAGTTTTCATTTCCATATTTGACTGTATATCCAGTGGGTTTCCATGGTGACCGACAGATTTACATGTTCGTGTTTGACTGTATCGTTGCAGTATCCATGGTGACCGACAGACTCACATTTCCATGAGTGTCTGTACTCTGTCACGTTGCCATGGTGACAAACAGACTCATTTATAATGCCTGACTGTATCCTGGCAGTTATAGACTTTCGGACTCACATGTATTCTGTCAGCTGCCAACTCGTGGCACTGTACGAAGTCACGCCCAGAGCAGGGTATGATTGCCGCAAGAGACTGCTGTATGGGTCCTTCTGTGGTCAGATTCTGTGGCCAGGTTTTAGACCTGATTTCTTACAGACGGCGTTCTTGACAAACACAGAACCACATCTGTCAGTCTCCATGGTGACAGAAGATCTGCCAGTACCAATGGTGACAGTGACTCACCAAATCTGTCAGTACCATTGCGACATAACAGATTTGGTCCACCAAATCTGTCAGTGCAGATGACAGAAAGACTCATCAAATCTGTCAGTACCAATGGTGACACTGGACTAACCAAATCTGTCAGTTACTATTGCGACAGAAAAAGACTCACCAAATCTGTCAGTGCCCATGGCGACTGAAGACCCATCAAATCTGCCTATCCCCATGGTGACAGAAGACCCACCAAGTCTGTCTGATGACTCACCTATACACGTCTGATTGTCTGTCCCAAGCTTGTAACCAAGGTTACAGAAACAAAATGCCTCTTCCGTTTCCGCTTTGACCGTGCAACCCTGGTCACAGTTCAGGTTCTTTACTTCACTGCACACATCCTCCACTGGAATACGAGCAAAGTAGTGGTCAGCTGAATTATACTATACACCCGTGCATTAATTAAGCACCACCCTATTTTGAAAATAAAATGTGATGCTACAGAAAAGTTAGGGTATAGCCATCAATTTAATCAACATGTAGTTAAAGAAGCTTTAACCATTGACAGTTTTACAAATACCATAACCTTTTCTATTCTTTGTGAATGAACATGTTGATGAAAATGTGATGGGACTGAATTTTACCCAAAATAACTATTCCTCTCCTGCTCAAACTACACAATTAAATTAAGTTTTGACTAAAAATAACAATTCTGTTATATACCAAGATGACATTTACACATCAAGTAAGCTTTAATTATGCATAACCAGGAAGAACCCGAATGTCAAAGATTCAGACCTTTTTCCAACAATTCAGATTGCTGATTGACAAAAACTCAAAAAGGCCACATTAATAAGATTTTGGAATAAATCTTTTATGATTTTGAGTTTATTGTATTGAATAAACACTTCTCCTTGCCGGATACTGATAATTACAGCTAAAATGTGTTTTGTTTGTAAAGCAACTTTTACTGCATTTTAAAATTTTACTTTTTTAGTTTGACTGTAACTTTTCCTAAAATCTTAGTTTACAAACTTTCATCCATTCACAATAAATAACGAATTTATAGGCCACATAACAATCAATTCTTACTTTCAATTTTCAAAATAAGGTAACTTGTTTTAGGACAGAAAAATACCTGTTTTAAATATAGGCAATTATCCTAATTAAAGTACATGGTAATTTCAATGATGTTTTCTTTTTGAAATGTTAAATGCTTGCTCTATCAAATTATAAAGGGTATTTTTTGGAAAGAGTTTAGAATTTCATTTCAGACAAAATTAATTGGTAAAAATACAGGGTGGTGCTTATTTTATGCACGGATGTATACTTTATCTGAGACTCTGTACCTCATCCCTTGCAACACGACGTACGCAAACATGGACAGACCAACTGCATTCAACCCTTAGAACGTAGTGTACGTTATGAAAAAACACTATTCCGTTTATAGGACAAGTGTTGTCATATTAGATCAGGAATAAATATGCAACTAGACAGTTAGTAAACTTACTCAATGACACCTTAGGTGAGTAAAATGGATATTTCCAGCCATATAGTAACGGAAAATGAAATACCCACTGTTTTCATAAAACAATAAAAATTAAAGGGTTCAGTACCCACATGAGCTAAATCTTATCTGTCATCGAAACTGCACTCAAACTTAGAACGTAGTTAACACTATTCCGTTTGGTCACAGGAATAAATGGCAACTAGACAGAAACCGTGCATACCTAATTGCTAAAGAAACTGAAAAACGGATGCCTGCACACAATGCGTGTTTTAGTCGTACGTTTGTGGCCACCACACTGTGTCATCACTGTTGTTCAAGATGCTAATTAGGCAATTAAGGTGACAATAAACTGCAGACTAATCCACTAAACCCAGCCTTCTAATCCCCACCTAATAAATACGAAAATACATTTTAGAGCCCACTTCATATTTCATATTATATTTAAGCAATATGGCATAGCATCATTTCAGAACATCAAGCACATACAGTTGAAGTTTTACATAACACAATAACGGATACACAATAACAACATTTCACAACTTCCTTGTGAATTAGAAAATACTGTTACAGTTCACTTCACGTTATATTCCATAATATAATAAATAAATACAGGAGCAGAATATTGTACAGAAAGATATATATATCTAGTGTAAATGTAGTTAAGTAATGTTTCATGTCAAGAGAGATTTGTTTATAAATGATTCTACCCTTGGAGATCCGATTTAGAATTTGACTTCAGCAACCGATGCTTGTGGTAAGAGACGACAAACGGGATTGGCTTGTGAGGCTCGCTAACTTCGCTGACACATGTCATCGTATTCGAGGCTCGCTAACTTCGTTGACACATGTCATCGTATTCCAAATGTGAAGATCGATGCTCATGATGTTGATCACTGAATTATCTGGTCCGGACTTGATTATTGACAGACCGCAGTCAAATAGCCGGGATATGGCAGAGTGCGGCGTTAAACAACAAACAAACAAACACTATAAATGATTCACCTCTCTTTACCTACCTTGTTCACAAGTCGTCCGGTCATCCTTAAGTCGATACCCAAACTCACATTCACAGTTGTAGCTGCCATCGACATTGACACATTTCTGACCGCAGTCATTCTGTTCTGTTTTGCATTCATTGATATCTAGAAGGACAAAAATAACCGTGTGGTTAAGACTGGATAGACTAGTACTGAGGGTGAAATATCTGGAACGTTACGACATGTCGTAACTCTATAGTTTATCATAAGCTTACGGATGTCGTAGCGCTACGAACGCTTTGTGTATAAGGCCTGGAGAAGATTTCAAGTTATAAAGAACCGAACATAAAGTCATTACACACAGGTGTATATAGGTCGTATAAGACTGCGTCCCGCTAAAGTGTCGCGCTTAAACACGCTAAATCAGGGGCGGATACAGATTTTTAAGAAAGGGGGTTGCACACTGTTGAGAAAAGGAGGGGTGCACACTTCATTTTCACCCGGTTTCAATGGTCATTTAACAAACTTTTACAAGACCCCTCCTCTGGATCGGCTTATGCGCTAAATCATTGTTGGTTTTTATCCATCCAACGTCTACCCTAAAATGGCCGCAAGAGGGACACGAGTCGCCATTCGGCTTGTCCAGTAATGATACGAATTTTCCCGAAGGGTTTCTCACCTCCACACTTTTTTTGGTCGTTCTCCGTGTATCCGGGCTTGCAGGAGCACGTGAAGGAGCCCTCTACGTTGGTACAGACCTGATCGCACGTGTTGGCATCCGTGACGCACTCGTTCTTGTCTGCAAAAGTATGGCAACTAATTATGATTCTCGAAACAAGATCACATATCACCAACATCGCGATCATTTGTCTTTTTCGAAATCTGAACCCGTGAAGCTTCGGGTTAATCCATGCTTGTCGTAAAAGGCGACTAACGGGATCGGATGGCTTGAATCGCTTACTTGGTAGATGCATGTCTTCGTATCCTAATTTGCGTAGATCGATCTTCTTGAGATCAGTCATTGAATAGTCTGGTCGAGACTTGATTATTTAGAGAACGCTGCTGAACTATTACGTTAAACAACTAAAGCGGCCATAGATATTCCAATGCTGGGATTCGACCTTCTTATCTGATGATGGACGCCGTTTCCCCATGACTGAAGAGGTTAACCCCGTCAGTACGCTGACAAGGTACGGAAGTCATCTGTGGGATGACGCTACGCCCTGCTACATACTCCCCCTTCTACAGAAGGCACATCTAGGGCCACATAGCAGGGTCCTCGGATTTATTTTGCTCAAATTTAATGTGGACTTGGCTCAGCCCCAGGTTGGTGCCAGTGTAGAGGCCAATAAAGTCGGACGCCTTGTCCACATGTCTAAAGAGTTTAACTCCGTTAGCAAGCTGTCAAGCATGTCATATATTGGATGGCTCGACGCCCATCAACCCACCAGGGTCGTAGACATTATTTTTGCTAATTTGCTAATTTCTGTTCTAATTCTTGTCAAATATAACTACAAACTTATCAGAACAATGTAAAAGATGGTAATGCCTCTGTGTATCATACTGACTACACTATTCTTTGAAAACAAAGCATCACCAATGCAGTCACCATGTACAGTAAACATGTTATTCTTCATATCATAAATTTGACAGGGGTCTTTCTTTCAGTGATGATTGTTTTTCCATCGACATGTAAGTGATGTTTTGTTACATTCATGATTATATGTGAATCAACCTATCGGGCTTACACGAAAAAATGCGTGCTACGCGCCTGCACACAAGATTCGATCATTTTAATCGTACCTGTGCAGGTCCCATTGGCTTGCTTGTCGTATCCAGTCGGGCATGTACACGTATATGAGCCGTCGTTGTTGGTGCAGATTTGACCCACTGGACATGGGCTTTCGTTACACTCGTTGATATCTATGTCGCACTTGGTTCCACTCCATCCTACCTTGCAGATACAGCCCCTGACGTTATTGCAGCTGGTGGAACGGTCGCCACAGTCGCAGCGTTGGGCACAGTCTTTACCGTAGTTCAAGTCTTCGCATGCTAGAACATTCACACAGTCATCATCATGTTTATCTTGGGATATGTATGTTACAGTGAGTCAGTGGTCGAGTGAGTGAGTTTAGTTTACACCGTTTGTAGCAATATTCCAGCAATATCGCGGCGGGGGACACCAGAAATGGGCCTCATACATTGTACCCATGTGGGGAATCGAACCCGTGTCTTCGGCATGACGAGCGAACGCTTAAACCACTAGGCTACCCCACCGCCCAGTGAGTCAGTTGTCAGCTCGTCACGCCTGAGGACCGGGTTCGATTCCCTAGATGTATATAATGTTTGAAGCCCATTTATCTGGAGTTATCAGTTGTGGAAGATCGTTTCAGCAGTGTACATACTCACTGTCTCAAATGTAGATTGATAGCTTGAACATTGACAAACACGTAAAAACGTCAACTTACCATCACAGGATACCTTGTCTGAAGACAGCCGGTACCCGTCAAAACACGTACAGAGGAAGCTTCCGACGGTGTTGTTGCAGCCGTGGGCGCACGGGTTCTGGTCGCACTCGTTGATATCTGACAAAAAGGCAAAAAGAATCATGCGAGGTCTCTCCCGAAGCAGATCATAGCTAACTGACAGACGTTTAAAACGTCAATATTTGCCATCTACAGAAACAGATTCCATTGGTTCTTAAAGACAGCAACATAATTTAAAACATCAAAACCAGAGAATAATATCCGTCATCTGCAGAAACTGATTCCACTGGTTGCTAAGGATGGTAACAGAAGTTAAATCGTCAACGCCAGAGAATAATTCCCGCCATCTGCAGAAACTGATTCCATTGGTTGTAAAAGATGGTAACAGAAGTTAAATCGTCAACGCCAGATAATAATTTCCGTCATCTGCAGAAGCAGATTCCATTGGTTGTTAAAGACAGCAACAAATGTTAAATCATCAACGCCAGAGAATAATTTCCGTCATCTGCAGAAACAGATTCCACTGGTTGTTAAAGACAGCAACAAAAGTTAAATCGTCAACGCCAGAGAATAATTCCCGTCATCTGCAGAATCTGATCCAATTGGTTGTAAAAGATGGTAACAGAAGTTAAATCGTCAACGCCAGAGAATAATTTCCGTCATCTGCAGAAACTGATTCCATTGGTTGTAAAAGATGGCAACAAAACTTAAAACATCAACGCCAGAGAATAATTTCCGTCAACTGCAGAAACATATTCCACTGATAGTAAAAGATAGCAACAGAATTTAAAACGTCAACGCCAGAGAATAATTTTCGTCAACTGCAGAAACTGATTCCATTGGTTGTAAAAGATGGCAACAGAACTAAAACATCAACGCCAGAGAATAATTTCCGTCATCTGCAGAAACATATTCCATTGGTCGAAAACGGCAAAGCAATGACGAAGACTATATCAATGAATCGCTGCAAACCAGTGACACCAGGTGTCCGTAAAAAGGGCAACTACGTCTGGTGTAAAGTAGTAATTGCCACTCAAACAACTCGCGTGAAATCGCGCCTTCAGAAGGAGTCACTTGGTTGGGTCCTTTAAATGACATTTGGAAATTTGTATGATTAACAAGGGAGATCACTCTATCTGTAATACAACGTCTTTAATGAATGCCCCGTTTCGATATAGATCTTATTACCGTTTTTAGATATGTAAATGAAAGTTGCATATCCGTTGAGTTATCCCCCTTGTTCACCAGTTGATGGGGTTCCATGTAAAATTGTGTCTCAGTATCAATACAGTCTCGAGTGCGAGACGTAACACTGAAACATTTATCACATCTCAAACTGCGTTACATAATGCTTGGATTCAATGTCCACCAACACTAATATTAGAGAATCCGATAAGTATTGCCTCTAAACTGAAGGGCAGTATTTGTGAATATGACAATGAAGTAAACTATAAATAATGATATTTAAGAGTAAACTTGGTGTAATTCCCGGGAAGAAACATACCTTTGCATGTGCTGTTATCAGTTTGGTCAATTTCATATCCGTTTTCGCAGAAGCATTTGGCAGAGTCCGCCAAGCAACCATAGGAACAGTTTAGTGGGTGACATAGATTTTTGCTGTTGAATCTGAAATAGCAGATAAATATTACAACTAGCACTTACGTTGCTACATCCGGCGAATGATTTGCATATAGTTATCATGATGGTGTATCAAAGATACGGTTAGTTCTAGACCTGTATCAGCCAATTCTTGTCATAGATAGTTGAAGACCCGTGAAAATCCGGGTTAGAATTGGTCTCCATCAGCTCATCCTTGTCGTAAGAGGCGACTAACGGGATCGGCTGGTGAGGTTTGGTTGACATATGTCATCGTATCCCAATTGCGTACATCGAATGATTATGCTGTTGATCACTTGATTGTCTAGTCCAAACTCGAATAATTACAGACCGCCCTCATCTAGCTGGAATGTTGCTGAGTGTGGCGTTAAACACCAAACAAACATAATGATTGTATTGCATTGGTTCACTGCAGGCATAATCATCACCTACAGAGGCAGGCATCAAGTGTCTACCTGTATTGCACTTCCTTGGATCAGGTGTATCCTGCGTGAAACCAGCATTACAGCCACAGAAGAAAGAAGGTACGGTGTTGTTGCATATCTGTTGGCAGTCATGAAGGTTCTCAGTACACTCGTCGATGTCTGCAACCGCAACGTTTTAAATTCATGAATACATCATGTCTTGCATACAGGGCTGGAAATAACTTTAAATTTGCTAGTGTACTCCTGTACAGTGGCACAAGTAAAATCACTTGCCCTGATAATGTTTCCACTATACTGGCCGACTTTCTTGTTGATTTTTTTGAATAAACAACATAATTAACATTGGAAAGTCAACTGGACACCGGTACAGTGTGATAGACAAATATGCTTGCCCGACAGAAAAAAAACACTGGACTCGGGCGTCGGGCAATGGGTTATTTCCACCCCTGGCATAGGTATGTATTTAACACCTGACTGCTAGACAAGAAGCCGTATGAATCCACTGCCTTGATATTGTGATACAGCTAAAACGGGATTAAACCAAACTCACTCACTCACCCTTAACATTTACATTAGGCATGTAGCGGAATGGTGAGGCCGAAATGTAAACTATGAGTCTTCAATAGTTATAACTCCTAACATACACAACTGTATTCTTTAGAAATACTAACTCATCGCCTAGCACATGTAAATCAAAGCCATTATTTGAGCACACGCGAAAGAGCAGTAATGCGAAATGCGAATGGTCTGAATATTGTCCCACCGTCCTCTATATAAGACTGAATTCAAATGTTCCTGAATTATTATAGTTATAAATTGTATTTACAAAGCGACTGACGCACAATTATTACCTCGTCCAGTGGATCGGTATACCATTCTCAGCTCCCCGAGGAATATACAATTGATACTGACTCAAGAAGGTTAAAGGTCACTCAGAGGCCCAGATAAGCTGCGTATTTGGGTAAAATACGCACAGAAAATTTCCAATTACGCATTGAAAAATAATTGTTGCGTACCAATTACTAGTACGCATTTAAAATGTTAGATAAGCACAAAGTTTAAAACATATGCGTACGGAATATATCTATAAAAATCACTTGCGTAATGAAAAAGACATCGATTGGTATCAAGCTGTATTGTTAGTATAGGACAAGTGTTGTACTGTCAGTACAGGATGAGAGTTTTTTTATGAAATCATTTCCATTATATTTAAGTTGGTTTTGCTTCAGTACTACATAAGGCAGTACATACCTGCTTAGTAAACTTACTCAATGGCATATACTGTGAGTAAAACCACTGAAATACCCACATATTTGAAAGCAGTGGGTAACGGAAAATGAAATACCCACTCCAAAAAAATACAGTGGGTACGGTACCCACATGAGCTAAATCTTATCTGGAGCTCTGGGTCACGTTACCATCTCATTCTACTGAATATTTCGTAGGTCACTTGCCAAAAGAGGTGCCACATGGTACATGTGTGCTTTAGTATGGGAAGAACCAATGTTCAAGAATCTCTCATTCATTCATTCTATACACGGTCAACTACTTCTCTCACTCACTCACTCCGAATGTTAGCTCAGGTGTTGTTGGTATGTTCATGGTAGAGACTATACTATGACATGGCTTACCTTCACAAACTTTGTTGACGAGCCTGTAGCCGGCCATACATGAACACCGATAGCTACCCTGTGTATTCGTACAGTTTTGGTCACAGGGGTTTGATGAGTTGCATTCGTTGATATCTGATCATGAAAAAAGATATCATACGAAATCAAAATACATTATTTGCTTTACGCTAAGGTAAATTAATTCATACTGAAGCTGTCAAGATTGTCATAACTGTCTCTGGTCTTAAATATTACTCCTGTCCAAAACCGAATCTCCAGAACCTCTCTTATGTGACCAGTTTCGGTCATAAGTATTTCCATAATTTCATATGCCCTTTTCACTGGAATATACCGAGGAAGAAAATATATAAAAGTGTTCTAAAAACTCAAATATAAACAATGCAACCATTGCCGATAACATGTCCCTTTGACTCAAAACACATGTGTTTGTCTACAAGTATCATCACACATTCGTCACAATTCTAACTTAATTGAACATTAAAAAAAAAAAATCAAATATTTCGCTCATGAACAAAAAGGCAGTTGAGATTTGTGCAGTGATACACATTCTGCTATGCCTTAACATAATCAAGTTTTGATGATTTAACATAACCAAGACACGAGTTCACAATATATTGCTGGCTGATATTTTTTCACGCATGGGTAGTTCTATTTTCGCTCATGGACGAGATATTTAAATAACGGTAAATTTGGGTTGAGTTATGAGCCATGACAGTAGTAGACAAACCATTGTCTATTAAATAAACACGAAAGCAAAATATTCTCGCTCATGGACGAGACGTTTAAATAAAGCTATAAATTAGTTGAATCAAGTTAAAATGGATGGTTTCTATGTACCATGCTGCTTGCTGGTTGGTTGGTTGGTTGTTTTAAGCCGCACTCAGCAATATTCCAGCTATACGGCGGCTGTCTGTAATAAATAATCGAGTCTGGACCACACAATCCAGTGATCAACAACATGAGCATCGATCTGCGCAATTGGGATACAATGACAAGTGTCAACCAAGTCAGCGAGCCTGACCACCCGATCCCGTTAGTCGACTCTCACGACAAGCATTGGTTACTGAAGATCAATTCTAACCCGGATCTCAACGGGTGCTCAGTACAGCTAGGAGATCTTTATAGATAGATCAGACAGACAGACAGACAGATTGATTGAAGTGTCATGGAATATGACTTTGCGCCTCGACTAGGAACGAGAATAACCGTAAAAGGTGTCGTGTGAGTCGAATTATTTACCTGTACATTTGTCCCCCTCTGCCTTATATCCATCAGGACAGGCACTGCAGTTGTAGCCTTGTCCGGTGGCTACCTCTTGCGCCGGATCCAGGTCTGTGCAGTTCTGGCCGGTGAAACACGGGGAACTGACACAGCTGTCGATGTTCTGGCTGCAATCGTCACCTGCCGACCACAAAACATTGCATTAGAATTCCCACACATGACAAGAAGAGGATTTGAGATTAGTGAGTGGGTGAATTTAGTTTTACGCCGCACTCAGCAATATTCCAGCTATATGACGGCGGCCTGTAAATAATCGAGTCTGGACTAGACAATCCAGTGATCAACAGCATCGATCTACACAATTGGGATACGATGACGTATGTCTACCAAGTAAGTGAGCTTGACCACCCGATCCCGTTAGTCGTCTCTTACTTGCTTGCTGATGATCAATGCTAACCCGGATCTTCACAAGTAATTTGACATGAGATTTGAGTGTAAGGTTATGGATTCATATCATAAACAACGAACTCTGTATATAGTACGCTATAACCGTAGCTCGATATACGCACTTCCTCTAAAGTGGCCGGAACCAATAAACAATTAGTTTTACCCGTCAGTTCGATATAAACATGTTCGTTATGGATGTAGTGCGTTGTTCTCAGATTACGTACATGTTATGTCATTCCATTTCCTATGATGGCCTTACAGTGAGTATTTATTAATGTATACATGACGTATGACCTACATTGACATGAAGTACATATAGTTTTACGAACACCCGGTGTCATCACCATTTGATTTACGAACACCTGGTGTCATAGCCGTTGAATTTTTATGAATAGCTGGTGTCGTCACCATTTGATTTTTACGAACATCCGGTGTCTAACTATTTCACAGCGCGAGGTGGGGTAGCCTGGTGGTTAAAGCGTTCGCTAGTAACGCCGAAGGCCAGAGTTCAAATCCCCAAATGGGTACAAAGTGTGAAGCCCATTTCTGGTGTCCCCCGCTAGATATTGCTGGAATATCGTTCGTAAACCTAAGAATTCTTAACTTTGATCGTAGCCAATGTGTTAAGAATGGGCTTAAGAAGTTCGTAGGGCTACGAACGTTTCGAGAATAGCTAGCCTGATTCTTAAGGATAGAGTTGATTATGATATAGCCGGAACTGTACAAAAAGAAATTATGATAATGGAAAGAGTTTTGTCTTATTCATTTTGAAGTAAACTATTCACACTTACCTGTCCACCCAGTGTTACAATCACAGGCTGCCAGGGGAAGGGATGCGGACGCTGCCGTATTCTGGTCGGCGCGTGAGCGGCTGAAGTTGCAACTCCCTTGGTCGGAACAGCGGTCGCAGACCAGTATCTTTACTTCCACCGTCTCCGATGACGTGTTCTTGGAATCCTTCACTACTATGCTGTGGACAAAGATAAATGTCCATGATGCTTCGGTATGAGTGAATTCTATAACTTGCAACCCTCTCGATATACACGGAGTGAGTGAGTAAGTGAGTGATTTTAGTTTTACGCCGCTTTTAGCAATATTCCAGCAGTATCAGAGCGGGGGACACCAGAAATGGGATTCACACATTGTACCCATGTGGGGAATCGAACCCGGGTCTTCGGCGTGACGAGTGAACGCTTTAACCACTAGGCTTCCCCACCGCCCCGATATCGACGGATACCTGTTTACAATGATATGTGTACTATATGAGTACATACGTATGTATGTATGATAAGAGTACGGATATGTGCCTATTTCACAGAATGCAATGCATAAAAATCTGACCACGGAGTCCTTCAACGAGCACTATATTTTTTTATACTAGATTTCGTTTTTCAGCTGTAGCTAAAAAAACAGATATAATTTCAAATAAACCCATGAACTTAAATAGTTTTGTCACGCATTTTCTGGGATGATATCATTTTCCTAAGAAATGTTTAATCAGGATCTTTCGATTTTGTATGTTTCCTATTTATTTTGATGATATAATAATGTAAGAACTGTAACTAAACTGAATTAATTAATTCTTCCAATATAAGAAGAATTAATTAATTGTTATAAGATTGAGAAGTGAGGATACACCGAGTTGTGCCAAACGTTTGAAACATTTGGATTTATTAAGTTGTGACAGTAGAGAGCCGTAGCTGAATTTCGTTTAGCCATGTGAATCATAGATAAATATAGCTCTGTTAAACAATTATGCTTTTACGCTGAATCCTACGGAAGCCTTTTAGGGCCATTCGTTTATTATTTTTTCCGTGAAATTTCAAGATACTACTTTTTTCTTGAAATGTCATCTTATTATCTTGAAATTTCGTGAATGTAACTTAAAATTTCAACACATCTTTATGAAATTTTAAGATAACGATCCTGAAATTTCAAGAGACATATAAAGTTCAAATTTCAAGACAATGATCTAGAAATTTTAAGATAAGAATTTAAAATATCAAGATCGTTATCTTAAAACTTCAAAATGATTACGTTGAAATTTTAAGTTACGACCTCGAAAGTTCAAGATAATAAGTTGACATTTCAAGAAAAAAATGAAAAAAACCCCTAATTGCCCTAAAATGCTTCCGTACAATTCACTTGTGACATCTAATTGAAAATCAAATACAGAGTCCGAGAATTGATGAACACAGTTAAGACATGATTGGGAAGTACCTTGAGTCCATATAATTTGGCTTTGGTGCCACTCACCTTATTTTACTGGCGTTAGCTGACGTGGGTGCAAATGAGACTACGGCACTTTTCTCGCTTCCAGACTGCGTGCCCTCCGTTAGGGTGAGACCATCTGGCTTATCTATAACCTCGTAGGTGATGGTGTCGCCGCTGTCGGTGTCTGTAGCGTTCAGGGAGAAGATGGCTGCTGATTTTCCGAGAGTCACATGAAGCACGGTGGTGTTGGAGGTGAGCGATGGTATCGTGTTGGCTGTACAAAATTCATGCGGGCAGATTGAATAATATTCCAAAATGACAGGAAAAAAATATTAAAGCCAACTTAATGACATACTAACAAACAAATGGCCACTTTCATCTAAAATCCTTCAATATGATAGAATACAGGTAAATAAATTAGAAAACAACAGCTGGTTTGTTGTTTAATGACCGCATTCAGCAATATTCCAGCTATGTGGCGGCGGTCTGAAAATAATCGAGTCTGGACCAGACAATCCAGTGATCAACAGCATGGGCATCAATCTACACAATTGGGATACGATAACATGTGTCAACCAAGTCAGCGAGCCCGTTAGTCTTCCTTCACGACAAGCATGGGTTGCTTAGGACCAATTCTAACCCGGATATTCACGGGTTAGGATGTTGCTGTACTGTAGACCATAGACATCACAGAAAACCTGAGCTCGTGGGTTATTGTTAAGGGTTAAGATACATTTAAAGTTGATGGTCAAAACTTTTAGAAAGGAGAATGTTACTTAAAAAGGGACCGGCAAACAAAGATGGGATATATAATTTTTCGGGATGGTGTTGGCTTGGAAGTTTGCGAAACACGTATATATACTAAGCAGCAAAAGAAACGTCAGTTTGGAATTTTCCTTCGCAGAAACGGATAACTGTACACTCATTTAATGATTTGATTGTATATTTTTTTTTACAACATCTCCAATTTTCCTGAGCAAAGACATTCCTTCCCAAACTCAGAATGGAGCCCAGGAAATGGTTTCAAAAACGCAACCTGATCTCGGAGATGGTACGGTGTTCTCCATGATTTCCATGCAACTATTATTATTATGTCCATTTCCGTAATGATCTGATTACAGTGCCTATCTAATCTTGAATTCGTACTGACTTTCGTTTATTTTGCTGCTGAGTATAGTTCCCGAGATTATGGGGGTAAAATAACAATTCTTTCTTTCTTTAAGTGATAAAAAGGGCATCTTTTAAAGAAGTGACCCAATTCATTGTCTGTTTTTGAAGTCCAATTTACGGATGTGTATCACACATATATGTATTTATCTCTATCGTACTGATGTAGTTCCATGTAATTCAGTGTACAATGCCCTGAAGCTTTCTGTAAGTGGAGTTTCAGGTTAGAATAGATCTCAGCAAACTATGCCTGTCGTTAGAGGCGACGCAGGGGGGTCAAGTGCTCTGATCTGGTTGATGCATATAATCGTATAACAGTTGCTTACATCGATGCTGATGATGTCAATCACTGTATTGTCTGGCCCAACACAATATTTACCTGGAAGATGTAACAAACAAACAATTCCCAGGTAAAAACTTCAAATGAAAGTCGATGACTAAATTACACCTGCAAATCTGAACACACAGAATGAATATAGCTAATAACTTGGTGAATATGGCCGTTCCACGCACTTTGCTCTTCTCGCTCCTTTTTAACACCCTCGTCAGTCTGTTTGGTAGAATCTGCAACTGCCTGGTCCCCGGTAGCCAGGAAGTCAAATATACACGGGAGGTTCTTCTCGTCCCCGCCACATGCAGCAATTGACGCATTCCGATCCGTCTCACTGGCCTCGTCATAGAACAGAGGCACGAAGTCTGGGTGGTAATAGTCAGAGGCGTTCTTTCGTGGTGGATACAAGAACAGGGATTCTGTCAAGTTGATCTGCCCTGGAAACAGAGTGTATGTGAGTGAGTGAGAGAGTTTGGCTTTACGCCGCTTTTAGCAATTTTCCAGCAATATCAGGGCGGGGGGACACCAGAAATGCGCTTAACACATTATACCCATGTGGGGAATCGAACCCGGGACTTCGGCGTGACGAACGAACGCTTTAACCACTAGGCTTCCCCTCCGCCCCAGATGGATTCTGGGTAGATGAGAGTTAGTGAGATTTTACAATAGCAATATTCTAACACGGAAATATGCACCAAACATCGTTGCAGTGGTGGGGTAAGACATCAAGATGGATTAATGGATGCTTACAACAAACATCGTTAATTAATCACTGAAGGCTTGCGTACGTCATTCCAGAATATGTTCCGTTGACATTAACACGCGTTGTTACTCGTTGTCAACAATGTGCGCATCCTCCACATCATTTTGGTAAACCCTCACTAACCCAATGATCTAGTCACGTAGCCCAATAACCCAATGATCTAATCTCAAATTACCCGCCCTTGATTACAATACTGATTGCCCGCGCTAACGTACCAATCAGAATGCGAGTTCCCAATCAGCTTCAAAGTTCGTGACCTGCTCGTGTTGTTCCGGGACAAGCCGGAAAAGGGCGAATGGTGACGAATTCAGCTTCAATGCTGGGTGGGCAATAACATGGTAACAAGTCCAACTGACAATGATCAAGTTTGCGTGAAACTGAATATTGAAAAACTGACTGATACGCAAACGAAATCTGTTTGATGGTAAGGATGTGTATGTCGCCATGAACGAAGATAGTGGCTCTGGTTCCTAGGTAACACGAGCCACCTCCCTTACCATTTCCCCAGCGTTTGATTGTTATGTAAAATGTTAGTGCAATTAAGGATGTGGCCAATCGCAAAAATCACTTGAGTAGATCCATTTGTCAATAACCGAAATGCGAGCGCTCCAGAAATAGAGGATGCATGATATGCGATGCAATCAAATGCTAATACTTTGACATTCAGGCACTAGACTGTTTACAGACAGTGAGTGAGTGAGTTTAGTTTTACGCTGCACTCAGCAATATTCCAGCTATATGGCGGTGGTCTGTAAATAATCGAGTCTGGACCAGACAATCCAGTGATCAACAGCATGAGCGTCGATCTACGCTATTGTGATACGATGTCATGTGTCAACCAAGTCAGCGAGCCTGACCACCCGATCCCGTCAGTCGCCTCTTACGACAAGCATGGGTTGTTACACCCAGGAACAAAATATAGGGTGTCACAGTTAACACACGAAGTACTTACATGTTTTCCCGAATTCGTATATGACCCTCTCTGGTGAGTTGACATCCAGATTGGTTCCATTAGGGAAGGTAAGATCGTCGGACTTGTCATCGTTGAAATTTCCCATCAACCCTCTTATTTTGTTCTTAAATGCAGCCGTCAATCCCACAGAGACGGTGAGAAGTTTGGGACCAAGCACCACCCGCACGGAGACTCCTGTTGGTCCAACGGTACATGTTGCGTTAGGCCGATCAATTAAAATATTTATATTGCGTTAAAACCGACGACATTAAATGATGGACACATGCGTGCCACTTTGTTTTAGAGTGGGTCAGGTGAGTGAGTTTGGTTTGACGCCGCTTTTAGCAATATTCCAGCAATATTACGGCGGAGGACACCAGAAATGGGCTTCACAAATTGTACCCATGTGGGGAATCGAACCCAGGTCTTCGGCGTGACGAGCGAACACTTAAACCCTTAGGCTACCCCCACCGCCCCGTGGGTCAGGTGAAGGAATTACCGTCAAGGGTTTTACCACACTGCAAACACAACCCACTGGAATACACAACGCACAACACATACTGAACATACACAACAAAACGAACACTACACACACAATAACACAAACCCCTCCACATATCTCACACTTTGCGTGTACCTGAGGGGAAGAACCCAACGACGTCTTCGCCTTGCCGACTAACCGTCAACCCGCCATTGCCGGTCTCCGTGAAGTTGCCGTCCTTGGCGAAGGCCAGAGACAAGTCTTTTCCATTCCGGTAGATGATGAATCCTGTAAAGAGAAGCGACAAAACCCAATCCACATCCATAAGAAATCTCTGCTAGAAGCAGGGTCGATTGTACACTTGTGACTATATCACGAGCATATACATGTTTCAGCTGTATTACACCTGCATGGTGCTGTTTGTAATCAAATTGAGTCTGGACCAGACAATAAAGTTATAGTCACCATGCGATACGATGACAGAGCATGTGTTTATGAATCACTATGGAATAGTGATGAAACTAGGTGTTTGCAAAATGTGAGCGTATCCTGCCCCACCAGTTGCACCAAACGTCTAGTCAATTGTTCACCTGAAATAACAGGGGACCGTATGGTACAGGTGGAAATAGGGATTGAGACTAACCAGAAAATACTACAATATATGGACAGAATCACTAACATAACACTATTAGTTACACGGTGTTTTGAAAGGGTGTATGGGACTTTAAGATCCTTGTAAATTCCGTATTTCCCGAGGCGCAGTTCCATACACCCTTTCAAAACACCGTGTAACAGATTTTTCACCTTTAGGATGTCTTTATTTATCCCATCTTTGAAAACCAACATTGAGTAGAAATAACAAAAAACGACAATAAACATTATATCAAATAGTCAAGCTCATAACGGGAGAAAACTCGTGAAGGCTTAGGTTATGATAAAATGGTCGAATTTGAGATTTGTGTCAAACGACAAATGGAATACGTAAACATTTTATTTTTAAAAATTACAATTGACACAAACAAGTAAGAAATTATGGCAACGATTATATTACTCTGTTTATACTCATAATTGTATACGCCAACTCTAAAATTCGAAACGATCAGCTGCTTGCAGCCATATTTAATCTAGGGTCAAGGTCATTTGTACAACCAGTGTAGTGTGTCACATGACAGATTCGACGGGGTGTACGATTCGTACACCCTGGCACATCCGCTTAATGGTTTCGTGTGCTTTGGCTATTGACCAATCAGAATTCGACAAATTTATCTTAAGGGTAATAAATTCACATATACTACCAGGTCATGGAAAGCGTATACTCGATCTGACCAAAATTAATTACAAGCCTTTTCCACAGTCGCCGAAGCACTGTGTCCTTTAAATCCAAATATCACTATGACAGATACGCCTTTTTTTAGGCAGGCAGTGTATGACTTACAACGGATATAATAGTTTTGGCCGGCATTATCATCTGCTAAAGCCTGAGGTCGAACACGAACTGCCCAACGTTGTCCTACGACAGTTGTCACCATGTTAAATCGTCTCCTAAAAGCGTAGATCGATGCTCATGGTGTCAATCACTGGATTGTCTGGCCCAGACTCGATTATTTACAGACGGCTGTGTTATTGTAGGAACATTACTGAGTGTGGCGCTAAACAACAGGGGCGTAGGGACGGTTTTCAATTTATTTTGCCTTAGCTGTACATGTAAGGCACCAAAGGAGTTACGTCCCTTAGTTTACCCAGCTCTGTGGGGTACTCAGCATCAGCTAGCTTGTTCAGATGTGCATAGTTGCCAAGGTAGACAAAATGTAGGTACAGTCCGTTTGGCTCAAAAGCGGACCGATGAATTGCAATCTAACTCGAAAACTAACAAACATAACATACTCAATGAAAACGCTGATCATAATCAAAACATCATACCAACTCTGTGAGGTTTTTGCAGAATTTTTGTCCTAAAAGTAATAAAGTTGTTTAACAAACTATCATTAAAATATTGACACAGTTCACTGTTTGTTACGAGGGAGGAGTGCAGAGAAAGGGACAGCCAGTGTTCGAGAAGCACGTTCACAGACAAAGTTATTTATTCATTAATCTGTGCTGTGCCGTCTCCATCCGTTCTCGAACACCTGGCTGTCCCTTTCTCTGCACTCCTCCCTCGTAACAAATAGTAAACTGTGTCAATATTTTAATGATAGATTGTTAAACAACTTTTTTATTTTAAGGACAAAAATTCTGCAAAAACCTCACAGAGTTGGTATTAGTTTTCGAGTTAGATTGCAATTCATCGGTCCGCTTTTGAGCCAAACGAACTACAGTTTTCTTCAGGTGTGCCTCATTCCAAAGGGAGGTAATTTAAATTTACCGTTCTTAGATGGAGACAGTTCCACGATAAAGGTATCGTTAGTGTCCGTAGCAGCGAAGGCCGTGAAGACGGTAGCCGTGGTGAGATTGCCGTCCTTATTAAGAGCCCTTTCCGTTCTGGCTTGAAGGGTAAAAGTGGCATTAACGTGGTCCGCATCAATCATAACGTACTCGCCGAAGCCGTTGAAGATGTAGGTGAGCTCATCGAGGGTAGTAATGTGCGGGTCACCAAAACCGTTGGCTGGAAAAGTCGTTATCAGCGTTTTAATACTGGCTGGGCAATATTCAAAAACTTATTGATAAGTCGTTATCAGAAGTTTAATCCCGGCAGAGCAATACATAAACACTTGTCAATATGTCCTTAGCAATACTTAAATACTGGCTGGGCAATATTTCAAAACTTGTCGATAAGTCGATTCAGAGCTCCAGATAAGATTTAGCTAATGTGGGTACTGTACCCACTGTATTTTTTTAGAGTGGGTATTATGAATGTTGAGTGGGTATTTCATTTTCCGTTACCCACTGCTTTCAAATATGTGCGTATTTGAGTGATTTTACTGACCTAAGTATTATGTCATTGAGTAAGTTTACTAAGCAGGTATGTACTGTCTTATGTCATACTGAAGCAAAACAAACTTAAATATAATGGAAATGATTTCATAAAAAAATCACTCATCCTGTACTGACAGTTAGTGTTGGGAATTGGTTAAAATCTAATAATTGATGATTGGTCTATTACAACCGATCAATCATCGAAAATAATTGGTTAGTCATCTATCAAATGTTCCTGTTATTTTATTAATGCACACAAAATAATAAAGAAAAAACATTCAGTAATTTGTTTTTTTTCCAAATTGCATAAAGTCCATTTGCAAATTTTGTATATTTAAATGATGATTTGTATATTAGGAACACATATTTTCTGGATTCTTTAAGATACATTTAATCATGACTTGTAGTGCTTATGAAATGTAAATTTAATGACACAGACAAAACCAGCCTTGTGAAAAATATTTGTTAATGCAAACAAGTGTTCCAAGATTGGTCGTGTTCGATTACGAGAAAACATGTTCGATTGCTTGGTCGTTTAGTCACTGCGACCAATCTTCGATTATTTCAATTAATCGGACCACCACAACTGACAGTACAACACTTGTCCTATACTAACAATACAACTTGATACCAATCGATGTCGTTTTCATTACGCAAGTGATTTTTTATAGAAATATTCCGTACGCATATGTTTTAAACTTTGTGCTTATCTAACATTTTAAATGCGTAATTGGTACGCAACAATTATTTTTCAATGCGTAATTGGAAATTTTCTGTGCGTATTTTACCCAAATACGCAGCTTATCTGGGCCTCTGGTCAGTCGATATCAACAAATTAGCGATTTCCAACATGGGTACAATTTGTGAAGCCCATTTCTGGTGTCCCCCGCTGGAATATTGCTAAAAGCGGGTAAAAGTAAACTCACTCACACACTCATCCTTCAATAGGTTTTACTTACCCCACCAGAAAGGGAATGAACGGGAACAGAATCTCTGGGGTCGGATGTCGAAGAAGAGATCGCATGTGTTGGATTGCTCACAGCAATAGTATCTTCCAAGGTAATCTGCCCGGTAATGCTGCCCTACAAATCTGGGATCATACCTCTGCAGCGATCCAGATTCGTCATCCGACGTCAACAATCTGGAGTTCCTATAGCAACATTCCTGTAGAAATAAAAATTATCACAATTTAAAAAAAAATGCAAAATGGAACAAATCGTTAACTTGCCTATCTGCTTAACATTGTCAAAGCTAACCATTAAAGACCTTATTCATTTAATACACCAGTTATATATTATGTCATATGTTTTCTATCACATTAACCCGTGAAGATCCGGGTTAGAATTGATCTTCAGAACCCATGCTTGTCGTATAAGAGGCGACTAACGGGATAGTGGTCAGGCTCGCTGACTTGGTTGACACATGTCATCGTATCCCTATTGCGCAGATTGATGCTCATGTGGTTGATCACTGGATTGTCTGGTCTAGAATTGATTATTTACAGACCACCGCCACATAACTGGACTATTGCTGAGTGCATAACATAAAACTCACTCACTCACCCTTTATTACAGTGAGAGCGACGTTCCGGTGTAGGATCAACACCGTTATCAAGCAAGTGATGATAACGGTGTTGGAATCTGCATCTAGATTATTTACAGACCGCCCCCATGTAGCGTTAACGCTGGCTCTCCTCATCCCTTAAATTGCGTCAGACCTCTCGACCCCGACTCAACTTTGGCTCCCCTCACACACTGAACTTAAATAATGGAACGCCTTTTTGCCTTGCGACACCCTTTCTACTTCTAACACAACGAAGTGACGTAACTGTAATACATATCAATAGTTTCCAAATTCATTTGATTAATAATGCGTGAATACACAACTTACCCGTGACAATGGATATGACCACCAAGTGAGGAACGATGTGTAACAAATACTGAATTGACCATTTCGGTATTTAAAACTGGACAGGTAAAACCGCCAGTCTCTGTTCATCCACACTGAGCTGCAGGGGCAGTCTGACAGGTAAAAGGTCCACCAAAACTGAAAATCCGGTGACCAGGTATTGTACCATTGTCTACACAACGACACGAAGTTCGTCACAGTTCCGCCGATGTCGAAGACATACACACCGGGTGTACCTGAATTGTACAAAATATATCATTTCAAATTAAAAGTCTCTTTTCGAAAGAAATAACATCATAGATTTAAGTTTGGAGATCATTGTTATCTTTGAGCAATATACGTGTGACACACTTACAATGTAATAATTTGGAGTGTGTATACGTTCATGCATTTGAGTGAGTGAGTTGGGTTGGGTTTTACGCCGCCTTTAGTAATATACAAGGAATATCACGGCGGAGGACACCAGAAATGGGCTTCACGCATTGTACCCATTTGGGAAATCGAACCTAGGTCTTCGGCGCTTTAACCACTAGGCTACCCCACCGCCCCACCTGATTGGTAATTATGTAGGGAATCGCGGGGTTGCAGCGTGAAGAGCGAACTCTTTAACCACTAGGCTACCAAACCGCCCCTATGCATTTCAGGCCCTGATTTCTCGATTTTGAGAAAAATGCATTTCCCACAATGAACTAAAATCGATATTAAACTCAAACATAGTAGACAATTTGAGTATGGTGGATAGATTATTTAAGTTGTTTGGGATTTTTTATTTAAAAAATGCAGTTGAGTTAAACATTCAGCTGTTTCAACTTGTCCAACTCAGTTTGAAATTTGAGTAAAAACTTAAGTTTGTTTCGAGAAATCGGGGCCAGGAGTAGGTAGGGCGGTGGGGTAGCCTAGTGGTTAAGGCGTTCGCTCGTCACGCCGAGGACCCGGGTTCCATTCCCCACATGGGCACAATATGTGAAGCCCATTTCTGGTGTTCCCCGCCGTGATATTGCTGGAATATTGCTAAAAGATGGGTATAAGTAAACTCACATACTCACTTACTCACTCGGGAGTAAGTAGGGTTTTGGGCAGTTGTAATGAGCAGCCCGGACGTATCACAGAAACAACGGGGATGGTCTAGAAACAAACTGAAGACATTGGAGAAATCGATGGAATCGACTCTTTGTCTACTGGGTTATTCCTCCAAGAATTGAGGACTTTGAGACCCGGCCGTTCCTCGACATTATACCTCCATTTACGTGAGCGTGAGTGAGTTTAGTTTTACGCCGATTTTAGCAATATTCCAGCAATATCAAGGAAGGGGGGACACCAGAAATGGGCTTCACACATTGTAACCATGTGGGGAATCGAACTCTGGTCTTCGGCGTGCCGAACGAACGCTTTAACCACTGGGTTACCCCACCGTCTCCTCCTTTCAATAACCACTGCCGGACAGGATAATAACAGGCACAATATGGAACCGAACATGGAATCACCGACCTTCCGCTCTCGAGGAATAGGCTCTTTACCTTAGAACTGTGAGATTGTCACGTTTCATGATCAAGCTGGAAATTGTATTTGCATTCGCGGTCCCCTACAATGTATTCAGTGATGTTGTGGTCGTGGTGTGACGACGACGCTACCTACCTGTGTTGCTGCCGATACCGGCGTTTGTATAAGCCGACCGCCTCCCAGAGACGATAAGGACCACCTGTCTTGGGTCTTGAGGATTGGAACTTTCATAGCCGATGTAAATTGGAATGTCATCGCTGACCGTCCAGCCCATTTTGTTGTAGGTATACAGGGCATACGTTGACTGACCGTTTGTTATCAGCAACACTTGAAACGTGGCAAACTACACAACAAATAATGTAGATATATTGCAATAATAGTGAGTGAGTGAGTGGGTTTAGTTTTACGCCGCTTTTAGCAATAATTTTATTCCAGCAATATAACCTGAGGGTTACATAAAAAATGGGCTTCTCACATTGTACCTCACTGTCCCTGTCGTAATAATATGGCGACAAAACATTTCCACATCCGCATAAGAAATCTCTGCTAAAAGCAGAGTCGATTGTACATTCCGACTATATCATAAGCATGTGTTTGTTTGTATGTATGTTTTACGCCACGCTCAATAATGCTACAACTGTATGACAGCAGTTTGTAAATAATCGAATCTGGACCACACAATCCAGTGACTGACAGCATGAGCATCGATCTACGCAACTGGGATACGATGACGTGTGTAAACCAAGTCAGCGAGCCTGACCAACTGATCCCGTTAGTCGCCTTTTATGGCAGGTAAGGGTTATGAGTTACGGAAGACAAGTCTGTCTGTCTGTTCGTCCGTCAGCCTGTCTGTCTGTATGTCTGTCTGTCAGCCATACCTCACAGAATCACATACTTTTGTACACAAATATATAGACACAGATTCACTCATGCACTGACTCGCCACCTCACTAAATCACACACACACGCGTGCGCGCACATGCATACACTCACTCTCTCAAGCACGCATTCAGTCGCTCAATGGAACTGATTTCTCACCTTTCCAAAAGAGGTTTCGCCCTTCTGTGGAACGTCATTCCACGTAACCACCAACGCCCATGTTGCTGTGAATGAGCGGTCAGAGATGTACTTCTGAATCCAAGTGGAAGCTCTTTCTAGCATAATACTGTTGGATCCGCTGTATGCCTGGTAGTATATGGCAGATGAGGAATTCGTCACCCCGAACTCGAGGTCAATGTCGGCCCAGTATGGACACAAGATGTTCTGTCTATTTGTCGGCAGCGATGGAGAGTATGGACCAAACGGCGTCCCAAAACTTATTACGCCATTCGTGGAGATCTAGACGGAAGGAAGGACACAGTCAGGAATGACAGAAAGTTGGTTGGTTGGTTTTGTTTAATGCTGCACTCAGCAATATTCCAGCTATATGGCGGCGGTCTGGAAATAATCTAGTCTGGACCAGACAATCCAGTGATCAACAGCATAAGAATCGAATCGTGTGGTGGTGTATGTATGTAGCCTGTTTATATACCATATATACTCTCCTGTAATAGTAGAATACTTCGAATGTATTCAATGGTGGAACCCGTGAAGGTCCGGGTGAGAATTGATCTTCAGTAACCCATTATTGGCATGAGTATATATCTCTGAATTTATATTCATGCTAGAGTACATCTTAATTACATTCGGGGCGGTGGGGTAGCCTAGTGGTTAAAGCGTTCGCTCGACACGCCGAAGACCCGGGTTCGATTCCCCACAAGAGTACAATGTTTGAAGCCCATTCCTGGTGTCCCCCGCCGTGATATTGCTGGAATATTGCAAAAAGCTGCGTAAAGCCACGCACACTCACTGAATTACATCCACGTCATTACCTTTTTCTGAACTTACATATATGTCATAGTAAATTTTCGATGAAAATGGTATTCCATCCTCCGCTTCTATTTTCTGAAAACCTTCATCCGCGGTTGCCATTGCTGTACCCGAAGTGAAGTCAAACATTTCTGTTGAATGAAAAAAACATCGATCTCATAACTCATAACTGTCATTCAAAACCCGCAGCAGCATTAGGTAAATGAGTAAAACTTAAAGATCATTGCGCGTGTATTGTAACCTGCACACACGAGTGTGTATTTGGGCTTACATGTGCGAGTGCGCACGTGTGCATGTGTGTGCGTTAAGGAGAGGGCTAATGCTAGTTTTATCCTGCTAGCCAACTGAGACACCATGGCACGTTTTATGACGTTGCCGGATTAAAACCACCGACCTTCAGGCGCTGTACCCACTCGACCAAGGACGCAGTGTGCTGAGAGTGATTGAGTATGGTGACCATGCCCATGGGAATGATTGGCTATGTTGACTATGTAAAATGAGGGTAATTGGTTATGTTGACCATGTGACCTGGTCGTGATTGGTTATGTTGACTATGTAAAATGAGGGTAATTGGTTATGTTGACCATGTGACATTGTCGTGATTGGCTATGTTGACTATGTAAAATGAGGGTAATTGGGCATGTTGACCATGTGACCTGGTCGTGATTGGTTATGTTGACTATGTAAAATGAGGGTAATTGGGCATGTTGACCATGTGACCTGGTCGTGATTGGTTATGTTGACTATGTAAAATGAGGGTAATTGGGCATGTTGACCATGTGACCTGGTCGTGATTGGTTATGTTGACTATGTAAAATGAGGGTAATTGGGCATGTTGACTATGTGACCTGGTCGTGATTGGTTATGTTGACTATGTAAAATGAGGGTAATTGGGCATGTTGACCATGTGACCTGGTCGTGATTGGTTATGTTGACTATGTAAAATAAGGTTAATCGGTTATGTTGACGATGTAAACTGGTCGTGATTGGTTGTTTGTTGACGATTTGAACTGATCGTGATTGGTTGGGCGGTTCCCAATGTGCCTACATCTCAGTTTACCTTCACTGCTATCAAAACAAATCCATGCATGAGTGGTTTATGTATTGGGTTCCTCCAACCTATGTCAGCAAAGGAGCTCTTCCATTGGATGAACAAGATTTAACAATAAAAAGTAATAATAAGTATTACAGTATGTATGGTTTTACTATCTGCATAGCAGTATTAGCACAGTTCTACTGAAGTCATCATGGTCACCATAATGACACAAGTCACTGACATCACTGAAGTCACATAATCACAAAGATCAATCACTGTGCAATGCCACTGAAGTTTGACTAGATGTCCCACGGCGTCAATGAATTGCAGCGGTGTTTTTCAGCCAGTGGACAACTGGTCTTTCAGTCTTTGTATTTTGAAAGCAAAGTCTTTGTGGATTCGGGACCGTTGACGTCTGGTACCGCCGTGTTCCAATTGTCTCCTGAAGATGCGTTCTTCAGACTCCATCTCCTGAAGTTCTGTTATAAGTTCGTATATGTTAGGATGGGCTTTCTTGACTCAACCCGTTGTGAAGCCTTCTAAGTGGTTGTTGGTGCTTGGTCCAGTGTTGCTGTGCTGGTTCCACATTCTGACAGGGGAAGCTGGCTTCGTAGCGTAGTAGTCGTTGAATGTTTCGATCTTGTCACCATCTGGTCCAGATTCCTGACGTTGTCGGCTTGCAAAAGCGGCAAAGCAGCATCTCTTCTGACATGGGACTGCACGGGGATCGTCACGATACTCTGGAGCAAGACCTTTCTCTGAGACATGTCGCCACAGTGCTTGAGGTTAATGGAAAAACACCCTCTGATGTCAGCATCTGGAAAATGGTCTTCGACTGCTCTGATTACGGTACACTCTAAGTCAGTCTGCACGAGTATCTGGAGACAGTTCAATACCAAGTCGTCTTGAAACCTCTTCTGTCAGCAAGGTGAACAATTTGGTGTAAGCGTCACGGTACTTGTTAGGTAGGACAATGTACAGTGTACAGCTGCAGCCAGAGATTTGGACACACTAAGAAGGTACCGTCCATGTATATAGCGTCCCAGTCGGTTAGAGTCTCCAGCATCTCTGAAACTGTCGTCCATCTGTGGTCTGTGTCCATGTTCCTTCTAAAGATACGTCACAGCGCGTCTGTGGCAAGGTGGAAGAAGAGCCTTGGAGGTACATAGCTGGTTTCACTCTTGGGAAAGTGGCAACGGTCGCAGCAGCATCGTCGTCGAGTGAAGCTATCTGATCGTTGTAAATCTGCTGAACAGGGTTGATGTCGTTGCCAACACGCTCAGTAGACGGGTCAGGTCCTCATTCTCTGATGGATTGGTGTGGACTTCATTGAGTGTGGCAATGAGGTCACCTATGGTACTACAACGCCGTCCGGTAATTCCGCGCACCTAAGCACATCAATCGCAAGCACATCGATCGCATGATATTTACCTAGAAATATAAGTTTTATTGACGACTATAAGATTCTAACGTTGCATTATGCCATACGGTTGACCTTACTGGCGTTCTGACGACATCGCTTGCTGTCCGGTAATTCTGCGCAGCAACTGATGCGCATAACATCCAGCTTGAGATCGGAAGAATGGAAGCGTATTAGGGCCAGATTATTTTAAAGTATTTACTTCATCAATATAAGGAAGAGTGTTTCCTATTAAATACAATTATAAATAATGAATAAAAAGGTTTAAAAGTCAGAAGAAAACGAATTTTCATAAAACTGTCAATTTATCTGTCAATTACTGTTATTTACTTACCTTTAGTGATTAAAAGCCAGTCCCTTGTAGAAATGTCCCGATTTCAAACGTAAATGTGGTAGCAGACGATGTTTACCTTTGATACGGAAGTATGCCATTGCAGCTGCACAGAATTACCGGACGCGCGGAATAAGGGTCATACCTATTCTCTAATTAGGGGTGTATTTTCAGTTCCTAATGTGTCTACACAACTTTTGTAGTCAAATCAGGAACAAACCAATTGGTTATGTTGATTATGTGAACTGGTCGCGATTGGCTATGTTGACCATGTGAACTGGTCGTGATTGGTTATGTTGACAATGTGAACCGATCGTGATTGGTTATGTTGACAATGTGAACCGATCGAGTTTGGTTATGTTGACCATGTGGACTAGTCGTGATTGGTTATGTTGGCGATGCGAACCGATCGTGTTTGGTTATGTTGACTATGTGAACTGGTCGTGATTGGTTATGTTGACTATGTGAACTGGTCGTGATTGGTTATGTTGACTATGTGAACTGATCGTGTTTGGTTATGTTGACTATGTGAACTGGTGGTGATTGGTTATGTTGACTATGTGAACTGGTCGTGATTGGTTATGTTGACTATGTGAACTGATCGTGTTTGGTTATGTTGACTATGTGAACTGGTCGTGATTGGTTATGTTGACTATGTGAACTGGTCGTGATTGGTTATGTTGACTATGTGAACTGATCGTGATTGGTTATGTTGACTATGTGAACTGGTCGTGATTGGTTATGTTGACTATGTGAACTGATCGTGATTGGTTATGTTGACTATGTGAACTGGTCGTGATTGGTTATGTTGACCATGTGAACTGGTCGTGATTGGTTATGTTGACCATGTGAACTGGTCGTGATTGTTATGTTGACTATGTGAACTGGGGTTGACTGGGTGTGTTAACCGTGTGAATTGGGCAATCTCAGAGTTTTACCTACCTGCAAAGCATTCCTGATCTCTCCGGACGAACCCGTCCTCGCACTGACACTCGTAACCATTCGTTAGGTCGATACACACGTCAAATGGGCCTTTACAGTACTCTCTTTCATCACTGTCACACTCATTTACTGAAAATACAGGTGTATTGAGATGATACATTTCAATAATAAAACTGAAATAAAAATGCAAAACTACTGACTCGTAACACATGTTATATTTGGGATTACACTGTCTTAGTAAAGTACCGATTCTAGTACTTTTTGGGTTGAGTCCCATCCGGGATTCGAAGCCACATCCTCAAAGTCAGGCACCAGTGGAAGCCGCGGTGGCTGAGCGGTCTAGGCTTCCGATGGGATGGGACTCAACCCCAAAAGTACTAGAATCGGTACTTTACTAAGAAAGTGTAATCCCAAATATACTACCCATCAAAAGTTTAGACTCACTTAAAGCACTTACTATATGTTATGCATATACATATGGTTACATCGAAGATGAATTTCTCCACTAACTTGGGGGAACCAACTGAAAACGTAATGCAGATGAATTGCACGAGGATCATGCATCAAATTGCTGTAAAGCATGTGCAAATATCATGCATGTGAACAGCTGCGTTTTGGTGTAAAGTTGTATTAAGAATTCGCCAATTTTCACTGAGTTTCACCATTTATTGAACTCATGACAATAATCTTTTCAACGTTACAAATATGTTTTACAATACATGATTTCATGTGTAAACAGTACCTTTAAACAGTACGGAAAGTTTTGCAAAATTTATTTTAGAACAGTTGACTTAAGTAAATGGCTACATTTACGCTAGTGAGTGTAAACTTTTGATGGGGAGTATATAACATATGTTACATTCACCACTTTCTAAAATGGAATTGTGTATTTCATACTGACTCGTATCCCATGCTCGTTTTAATACAAAACTGCAAGTAAAAATAGGCTCGTCTCAAAACTGTTTTAGTATATATTTTTTTTCTGAAATTCTACATTATCTGACAAGAAGAATTATTCATCCGTTTGATGACTGATACGCATGCAAAAAACAATGTATTGTTACATTATGGTGATGTGTTCTATTGTGTTATCATTGGTTTATTGGTTTATTTTAAGCTGTGTTTCGGGGCTTTTTTCAGCCTTATTACGTTTTGGTAATGTTTGTAATCGTTTTGTCAAATCTAATATTCAAGAGTATACCGTTTTGTCTTGCACTATACATATACTTTAATCTTTTGGTAGCACGTTTATGAGCATGACTATTGATTGCGATTAAGTTTTCAGGTGCAAGAACCAACTTTGACGGTTTGAGACAAAAGGGTTAATTTGTACTTATTATGGCTATTGGGGACTCTAAAATGAATTCGACATAACTGGGAATACGACACATCTAGTTCGAGACATCAGGGTAACAATAATTATAAAGGAAATCGGCAGTTTGACACAACCGACAATTCGTCTCATCCGATTTCGAGACATTGGGGTTCGACTGTATTTCCTTGTCATATAAAAGGTTCGATATCTCCAAATGTGTCTTAATAATGAGAGCGACCAGTTTCAGTATCATATATACAATTGGTACAGGTTGTTGTAAACGTTCCCGGTAATTTTGTCGATATATGACGAAAACCTTACAAGGTGTTCCTTAAATAATGCTAAGGTTATCATTAATAGTGTGTGATGTTTTTAACATGAATGTTAAGGTGTACAGAATTTATTGGTTTTATAGATTTACAGTGATTGACATCATGGGTGTTGAAGTACGTGTGATACGATGACATGTGTCAACCAAGTCAGCGAGTCTAACCACCCAAGCCCATTTAGTTAGTCGCCTCTTCTGAAAAGCATGGGTTGGTGAAGTCCGGATTTTCAGGGGTGAAATATGACTTGAAGAAAACAGTAGTAACTATTGATGAAAATGAGTTCAAAAAGAAATCAAGAACAGTGAGATGACAGAAATACAGCTCAACATGACATTATGGTCTCTCGTTATTTCAAGTTCATTTCAGGAATGTTTCCCTTTGTCGAAGTACACGTTAAGATCCGGGTTAGAATTGGTCTTCAGCAACCAATGCTTGTCGTAAGAGGCGACTAATGTGCTCGGTCAGGCCTTCTGACACATGTCATCGTATCCTAGTTGCGTAGATCGATGCTCATGATGTTGATCACATGATTTTCTGGTCCAGATTCAATTATTTACAGATCGCCGCCAGAAAGTTGGAATATTACTGAGTGCGCGTTAAATAAAAAACCAACCAACCAACCCTTGTGGAAGTAACGACAAAAAACCTCAAAAGTTTGAGAAAATAATTGAAATAACCATAAAATTAATTGGAACAAGTGAAAAAACCCAACATTTTGATTATTTAAATATGAACTTGAAATAATAGAGAAAATAAACGAATGAAACCGAGAAGGAAAATGAAATATCGAGACATGTCTGTTTCTGTTTAAAACATGAATATATGCAAGCAAATTGGAACTTTTAGTCCTTTGTATTAACAAGCATAACCCAACAGTAATACTTTATGATTTGTAAGAGAAGTAGTATTGTGAGCCTTATTCTGTACTTTTAGGTTTAACACTGCTTTTGTTCACTGACGTACTTGGGGATTCATAAAGGAGTCGCAAGGTGGTCACATTCGACTCCACAAGGATTCCACAAAAACAAGGTGGGTTGGAACACGTTTTATCATAAGTCACAAAATTTCAATCAAGGTTTACCTGCATTTCAACATCAACTCTAATCAACGGTAGATGTTATCTGGGTGTCTTTCTTCATCCATCTGCAATTCCCGCTTCAACAATCACTGTCACACTGTGACTGTATATGGTCGACATAATGCCCCTTGATGGACTAAATTTGCAATACGCCTACGTCTAATGCTAACCCTTTCGTGAACACCTGGTGTCATCACCGATTTTCAGTGATCCATTCATGTATACTACCCATCAAAAATTTAGACTCACTCGTGTAAATGTAACCACTTACTTCAGTCAACTGTGCTAAACTAGATTTCGCAAAATATTCCATACTGTTTTAAGGTACTGTTTACACATGAACTGATGTATTGTAAAACAAATTCGTAACCTTAAAAAGATTATTCTCATGAGTTCAATAAATGATGAAACTCAGAGAAAATTGGCGAATTCTTAAGAAAACTTTTCACCAAAACGCAGCTGTTCACATACACGATATATACACGTGCTTTTCAGCAATTTGATGCATGATCCTCAAGCAATTCATCTGCATAAGGTTTGTAGTCGGTTCCCCGAAGTTAGTGGAAAAATCAATCTTCGATGTAACATATATACATAGTGAGTGCTTTAAGTGAGTCTAAACTTTTGATGGGTAGTATAATATACACCAATAGGGACAATTATACCGGTGAATATCGTCATCGAAAATGAGCCTCAGATACGTACACAACAATCTATTGAATTACATTATTTCTCTATGAAGCAATAAAACTTGTAGTGAATCTTTGATCCGTAGGAACCTGAGTATATGATATTTTGTGGTATGTTTATTTCACTATGAATTTCTGTAGACAAGTACGTGACACATAGACGCAACGTTCAAACAATCAACAAAGATATGGCTTCAAAACACGTTTTCTTTTTTATACTCTACATTGAAAAACCAATACAGTGTATACACCACGGCTGACACAAATGCACGGCAACTGAAGAATGTTCTAACAATCAACAAAGATATGATATGAAAACATTTCTTTTTTATAGTCTACATTGGAAAGCCATTATATAGCATTGTATGCACCGCGGCTGCGACAGATGCATGACAACTGGAGAATGTGATCACTTGGGCGTAGATCAAACACACACACACAGAGTCCCCACACACCCCCTTGTTTTTCAAACTGCAGTTCAAGGTTAAACATGGGCATCAGGGGGCATTCGGATTCAGGAGGTGACACTGTATGCAGGAAAAACACTACAGCCTTTTGTCTGTAACTGCCTCTAGTTACAACCATGGAGTTAGTTTAGGGGGACATAAAACTTCTACTGAAGCATCCTGGGTGTGTTTGAAGTTACAGAACCATGACATGACGTGTACTCACAATCACCAGAGGATTCGTATACCTCTCTCTTGTGCCGCTCGTGTTGCAGGTTGTACTCCGAGGGGAGAAGGTCGGAATTCAAGGCGTCCTCAGAGAACAGGTCGACCTCTGTCTCGTATTTCCGATCTAGAGACGTGTACCTGACGACTTCTACTCCTTTTTCGAAAGTTTGAAAATCTCTTGATTTCAAACTGGTGTTAACTGGTTTCGTCATAGAAATAAAGGATTCCTCCTCTAGGAGTGTAGCGAGGTCATCGTGGTCGAGATCTGGAAATGAAAAGAATTGATCCTGAGAGGAAATCGATTAGACACATAATAATAAGTCGATTATATAGCACATGCCCATCCCTGGTATGACATAAGTCATTATGCGATGTAAAATGTGTACTTGGCCACAAATTCCTACCTGTTTCGGCAGCTGTGACAACGGTATGGAACAGAAACACAATCGCCACTATCATCAGCGGGGGAACTTTTCGCCTGTGAGGAGACAGTCTCAGGACGCCTGAAAGTAGAACATAGATGTCATATATCTTGGTAACATTCTAGACCCGTGAATATCAGGATTAGAACTGGTCTTCAGCAACCCGTGCTTGTAGGGGGCGACTAACGGGATCGGGTGGTCAGGCTCACTGACATGGATGTCATCGTATCCCATTTGCGTAGATCGATGTTCATGCTGTTGAACACTGGATTGTCTGGTCCAGACTCGATTATTTACCGACTGTCGCCGTATAGCTGAAATATTGTCATGTTAAACAACAAACAAACAAACAAATGGTAACATTGTCAGAACATCATGTATAAATCTCATACAATTATATATGAACTACTTTGTATATTCCCCTCCCCACGGTCAATTGATATTACCAGATTGGTTTAGTAACTGAAACTATTTCACGGCGATTACTTTCGGTAAGAGTGTGTTACTTCGTACTTTGTGACAGCTCGTTAAATCGGTTGTGCATTCTCTGTCTTGTTCACGTGTCCATGCGAATCAGACATGTAAAACACACACACACACACACACACACACACACACACACACACACACACACACACACACACACACACACACACACACACACACACACACACACACACACACACACACACACACACAGACACACACACACACACAGACAAAATCTTTGAACGCAAAGCAGAATATTTGTCCGAAACTGACAACAACCTGAATGCCATTTTGTCAAGTTTATTCATGGACTGCCAATACATAACCACGTAACTTTACAATAATTGTAGCGCTAAGATTGCGCTGTGCTAATGGATCAAACTTTGTTATTAAGTATTTGTTATCACCTTCCATAGCTTAAAACATCTTCCGTAATGATCATTTCAAATATCCTACGAATCAGATTCTACAGGTCGTGAACTGATATAAAACGGTGGGAATTAAGTTAATTGACCAGTGACCAGGCGAACGGGAAAAAGGGTACATGTCCAACCCTCCACAACGCCAGTCACACGATCTGCTAGAAGCTCCCGTAACTCACCTGAAATGCAGTGAAAATTGGCGAATATACGGTGATCACTGTATATGGCGTTCTATTTGCTTTTAAGTTGTTATTTAAAAAAGAAATCAAAGAATAAGAAATTGTTATTTAAACCTTTAAAGTATCCGGTGCCCTCGCTGGTTTTTAATGCTCCAATCCTCGCGGGTTTTTAATGCTCCAATTTATGTAATTGTGTGACGGCCTAAAGATACACGTTCATGTACGTCATCACTATACTCACATCCTGGAAGAAATATTCTGTAAACACCCATGTCACAAACATTCCCCGGAGAAAAAAAATACCTTAGTGTGTAAAAGTATATACTTATCGTCATGAGGAAATTGTGATTTTGCCATTAATCAGTCTGTGTACTAATTGTTTGATCGACATTCTAGAAGCTGGTGAGTCAATTGTGAAGCCTGCACGACTTATGGATAACAACGTCTTGATCTACATCGAAACGTCGCTATATGCAAGAAGCTGTTATCCATAAAGTCGTATCCTAATTATCAATCTAAACAAAAAAGACTAACCTTTAAGTAAGAGGAATATAATTATCTCAGCCAAAAAAGAAATACAAGATAGCTTTAAACAGTTTTTAAGCTTACTTACGTCAAACTGGAAAGTCACATTTCAAATCCTTCGATGATTTAGCTTATAACATGCTTGTGCATTTAGATGATAGGGGTAAGACAACATGGGCGTCTCATATTAGAACTCTTTTATTTTCTCATGGCTTTGTATTTGTGTGGCTAAATCAAACAGTTGGTAATATTAATCTATTTCTTAAGCAATTTCGAGAACAATCTGTTAGCATGTATTATCAAGAATGGCATTCCTGTCTAGACAATAGTTCAAGATACCAGTTGTATAGATCACATAAGAGCTTAATTCAACTAGAACTATATATCTATCTGTATTGACATCGAGAAACATTAGACACACACTTGTTAATTTTCGATTGGGCTTGTTAGACTTATCAGTAAATAAGGGCAGACGAGTTTCCATTATGTAACTCGGCTATAGAAGATGAAATTCACCTCGCTTTTGTATGCCCACATTATGCTGATTTAAGAAAAAAATATATCCCAAACAATTATTAGTTAAAATATCCTTCAGCTGCCTTTGCTTCCATTCTATCCTCCAAAAATGAAAATGTTTTACGTAATCTTGCGCTTTATGTAAAACATGCTGTTATCCTTAGAAGCAATATCTAATCTGACCTGTAATTTCTTTGTGAAATGTCTGTAACATGTGCTGTATATATACTTGTATTACTTGTATATGGTCCGGAGGCCTGAAGTACAATAAATATCTTTGACTTGACTTGACTAACTGCTGTTCACCTGTAGTAAGGAATTGACATGTCACTTACCATTACGTATGTAAAATTGTGCAAATTATTGTCAGAATTCAGATTTGAATATATATTATACACAAACGAAATATTGCGTCCATATTCAGCCCAGTTATACACAAGGCAGCGCTCGAAGGAAGAGACAGTTTATCGCCAACTGTATCCCAGTGTCTTCAGGGAAACACATGGTGGTATAGGGACAGGATATACTAGCTTGTATAGAGATGGGATATATTCGCTCATTCGTTTATAGTTCGTATATAGAGAATCTCACCCGAGTGTCTTTTGATAATCAAACATATCACCACGAGTTGATAAAGTTACAAATATCCGAGGCTTGCAGAGGAAATGTTTACTTTCATCAATGAGTGTTGATATATTTGATAATCAAAAGACACAAGGGTGAGATTCTATTTATCATAAAAATTTATTCTTTTTTAGTTTTCAATGTAAAATGAACATCTCTGAACATGGTACTGCCATTAGACTTGCAGTGCAGCAATGTCATAGCATTATTCATGAAGTTCATGACGTCATAGCATTGTCAGGGCATTGTACAAAATCTACTGTCAAAACGATATCTCCCAGGAGATATCTCACACAAACTACATCTCCCGTGGAAAACAGTTTTGGATGATAAAAGTTGTTATACACATGCTAGTAAATAGTAGGTAAGTACTGTTTTAAATATAGTTGGTGTGACTTCGTTGGTATTCAGGTGGTATATACTTTGTGTTATAGAGATGGTATATTCTCGCTGGTATTTAGCTAATGTGTATACTCGCTGGCATATTGTTCGTATAATTTCGCAGTTCCCTAGGGTAGTCGATACATACTTTAATTGATAAATACTGGTTAGAATATTAACTGTCGTGTCAATGAGAGTATACAGCCACGTTTGATGGATGCTTAAGAACCTGAGCAGAATTGGTTACACGAAGGTGATGTGTTTGGGATTCGTTAAGAGCCTCAGGTTTGCATTTTCAGCGACTGTTTATAGTCGAGTAACGTTTGAAAAATATTGTACTATTTTTTTCAGATTTAGTTTTAAAAATTTAATTTATACATATTTTTGCGCTGTAGTGTAGTTGATATACAGTCGACTCTATTTAGTTGGTAGATACTCGCTGATACTTAATTAGTCTATACCACTTGGCATATAGCTGGTATACAATTCCTGGGACATCTTGTTTGAGAGGCATTTAAAAGTTAGAGCACGAAGGAAGGATAACAATATATGGATGAACAACTTCTTTACTACAACGAGAGCGGCGTTTCGGTGTAGATTCTAACACTGTTATCATTACTTGCTTGATAACAGTGTTAGATCCTACACCAAGACGTCGCTCTCACTGTATTTTAAAGAGTAAGTGAGTTTAGTTTTACGCCGCACTCAGCAATATTCCAGCTATATGGCGGCGGTCTGTAAATAATCGAGTCTGGACCAGACAATCCAGTGATCAACAGCATGAGCATCGATCTATGCAGTTGGGATACGATGACATGTGTCAACCAAGTCAGCGAGCCTGACCACCCGATCCCGTTAGTCGCCTCTTACGACAAGCATGGGTTACTGAAGACAAATTCTAACCCGGATCTTCACGGCTGACGTTTGGGTGTAGGTTCTCACACCGTTATCAAGCAAGTGATGATAACGCTGTTAGAACCTACACCCAAGCGTCGCTCTGATTGTGATAAAGACGTTGTTCATCCATATATTGTCCGACATTATGACAGCTGGCACAAAATGTAGTCTGTACTAGATATTGACGTGATCAGTTTTGAAGTAGTAGGACGTGTCCATGCATTGGGCCCGGTCAGGTCAGTGTTAGGCTGGTATCGTGTGTCGGTATGATACTTCTAAAGCCCCATAATAAATAGCCTTGTCGAACACACTCAGAAAACAGATTATGCAAATGACTAAGGAGCTTCATATCAAGCATTTGTTTCCACACATAAACACAATGCTTAATTCCTAACAGAACATCGTCTCACAAGCTCACTGTGACTCACACTTATGAATTCAAATCTGGCTCAAGCTACATCGATGGTACAATCTTTATGTGACTCACGCTGCGTCGGTACTAAACTTCTGATATGCTCCTGTTAAAGACGCTACTGCAATTCTCATTTTCTAAAGCTCCAACGTTATGGGAATCTAAATAGGATTCACACTACACCCTCAGTAAAATCCCAATGTGGCTTACACCACAACTGAACTCCATATTAACGCACTGAAGTCCTAATATGACAGGCACTACATCACTACTGAAATCCTAATATGACAGGCACTACATCACTACTGAAATCCTAATATGACTGGCACTACATCACTACTGAAATCCTAATGTGACTGGCACTACATCACTACTGAAATCCTAATATGACAGGCACTACATCACTACTGAAATCCTAATATGACTGGCACTACATCACTACTGAAATCCTAATATGACAGGCACTACATCACTACTGAAATCCTAATGTGACTGGCACTACATCACTACTGAAATCCTAATATGACAGGCACTACATCACTACTGAAATCCTAATATGACAGGCACTACATCACTACTGAAATCCTAATATGACAGGCACTACATCACTACTGAAATCCTAATATGACAGACACT